GGGGTGGGGGGGGGGGGGGGGGGATTCGTAGGTGAACGCAGCATTCAAAATAAGTAACGAGAACAAGATCATACAAAATTGATGGAACAGCACCTTTTCTCGAACTTCAACCCAGCACGCCCATTAATTTACTGGAGCGACCCAGATGTCGCTTCCAACCTATGTACCTACGGACTGCTGACGTCTCAAAGCAGGAAAATAATACTTTTTTGGGGCTTCAGCATTAGGCTATGAGCCATATTAGTTCCATTCATGTTAGATTTTTCCTTAGGATGGATACAATGATCAAAAACAAATATTTTCCTTCCGGTGGATTCAAACAGTACATGTTTTCAAGATGAATAATTATATGTACAGTAAAGCAAAATGAAGGTCATAATCGAAAAATCTTCTTGTACGGTTGAATTCATTCAAGTTTGAATTCATGTTTTCTCAGTTTGAGGGCCAGATTATACAAATCTGAAGTAGGTTGCTGCGTGAGATTCAATAATGCAGCGAAACATTTCTGGCGCAGTGCACATACAGTTTAAAACGGCAGGTGAAACCGAAGTACTGTACAGCTGGTTTTGATTTCTGAATGACGCGACAGGTTAATCGGGAGAACTTTCAAATCCTTTTCGGATATGGATGAACTCAACTAAAATTCAGCTCAAGACCCCCTACTCCCATGGACATAAAATACTTCTCCAGAGGTGATTACAAAAGAAGTGCCGCGAAGCTACACAAGATTAGTCAGCGCTGGGCATATAATAAAACAGTACCAGAGTATTTCCACAATAACGCGATATCTCACAGAAGGCACAGCAACGTGAAGCAATTGAACAACTTCTGAACACACCCGAGATTGCGGCGTAGTAGACATGGTTAACACCACTCACAGAATTGATCACAGCCAATCGAAACAGGAACAAAGCACAATGGATTAACACACCTGCCAACAATTGGGTAAGACGACGAACTGAGATGAGAGCCAATTCAAATTTTCAACCTGGCGATTTCCGCGTCAAACCTTCAAAAGGCTTGCAGCACAGTACAACATACTCTATGTAGGTGGAGGTTGCTGTTCACACAGACGAAAAACGGACGTACCTGACGCTCCTGGAAGAAGGCATTCATTAGAGTGAAAACGATCAAATTTACTTTGAACATCACTCACATAAGCGAAAAGCAACTAGAGACGTTTTACAAGTCCAAATATGCGAAGCTTTTTCCCCTCGGAATTCAGGCATTTACAAAACTTACAACCAGGTATCGGCACACACGATTGCAAGTAATGTCATGGCATACAAACAATTTGAATCATCTTCCGAATTCGCGGAAAAAAAGCGACGAAGCATGAAAAAAACCAACAAAGAAATACAATGCTAAGAAAGTTTTGTCACAAGTTTGCCCTTTCGGGGACCGCAAAGAATTTTCGAAAACCACATTCTTGCAAACGGAAGATTTCTCAAACCGTTTTAGCGGTCGAATGTTGTACTTTTTCAGCTGATGATCGAAGTAAAAAAAAAATCCTCATCCAAATCTTTTACACTCCGAAAACGATTCCAGCATGGCTGTCGAACTGACATTTCTTCAGCTAAACGCAAAATTGGGTTCACAGTTGTATTTACCGGAGCGAAATTCCCAAATCCAAAATTATCTTAAGATAACGAATAGCCTCTTCGGGTTCTATATAATTGAATTTGCCATTTTCAGAACACATAGAAAATGCATGGAAACGATATTGAATATTTCAGCACACTACAGGGCAGGCCACAAGCAATGTTCTCATACAGTCGAACGACAAAATGAGAGAACAAGTGAATTATTTCGATCCTTTTACCCGTCAGTAAAATATGCTGAAAATAATCCCAATTCACGGACATGAATTTATTGACGAATTTAAATTGCGGGTAACTCAATTAAGAGGATACATTCGCTCAATAATTTTGCAATACAGTACAGGATAGTTTACGAGTTAATCGACCGTAAAAAACTTGAATAGTTCGCGGTTTTGAACGCATTACTTAGTCAAAGGAAGGTGGGACATGGTGAAAGAACGGAAAATAATAAATTATCAAACGAAGAAGTAGTCAGCACCGTGGAACGGAAAGAACAATTTTCAAAACGTTTCTATAAGAAATCCTATTGCAATATGTTTACCAGTCGTTTTGCACACATTTCAGGGACAATAATCGGATGCAACGAACTTACCCTCAATTTTGATGAAAAATTGTCCTGTCATAAACATCCTAGGCGCCGACCACAATTCCAGGTCTCCAAAATATCCGTACTTGGATTTATTTCTCCCCTCAAGAGCCGAAAACTTAGGGCTTTCCGGATGATGCCAGGATTTTTCAGCTTTTTATTATCTCAACTTCATTCGACAGAAAATTTTATAATTATGCGTTCAAAACTACCGGAAGTATTCATATTTTCGTGGTCTAGTAGCGGGTCAATCATACAGTCCAATGGCAGGAAGCAGACTACACTCTTCGGTTGCTCACCCCGTTCATTACTGTACTTCACCCAAGTTCCACATGGCAAACTTCCAAGTATTCTGAATACGAAAAATTAAAAAAGGTGAATTGAGTATTCCATGCGACTTTAAAGCACTTGTACGTTTCCAATCGGAATCCCCGAAAGAGCAATGTCAACGACTCTTCCACCTGCAAAAATCAATCAAAACAAAACTCGGGAAAATAAACTTCAATCTGCTGGAGGAGGTGGAGGTGGAGGCGGGGCGGGAAGAGCCGGCTGCGGCGGAGGATTCTGACTCGCAGGGTTTTGTGCATGCGGGCGATCCTTGTAATACTGCTTCGGATCATCGCCGTGAACCTTTCTCAAATGCTTTGCCCAGTTACAATAATACTTGGTCGCGTACCCACACCTCGCGCAGTCGTACTTTTTCACCCCCGTATGGCTATGAGTATGAGATTCCAACAACATTTTCACGTGGAAAACTTTAGGACAAAATGCACATTGGAACCTTTTCAGACCAGGGACCTCGATATTATGCACTGTGTACATGTGTTGACGGTAAAAGTCGCACGTCGACCAACTTCTTCCGCATAATTCGCATCGCTTGCGGACGCGAGAATGTTTCGGAATTCCTTCACCGATCCCGTGAGCTTTGAAGAGGTGATTTTGCAAACCCAGAACATAGTAGTAAACATTGCCGCAGATATGACATGTTCTCGCCGGGCGTTTCGATGGATTGTGTTTCCGTATGTGTCGCTCCCTCGCAACGCCGCTAGCCAAAATTGTATCACCGCAAATTTCGCAAATCTGAGTTTCATTCGATTTCGGATGCTTGAGCGTCTTGTGGTTCAAAAAGGCTCTGTAGCCAAAGTAAGCTTTTCCGCATTCTTCGCAACTGAACCGTGGTTGCTTCAAATGAATTTTGCTGACATGAACTTGGAGCTGCTCGTTGTGCTGGAATTCTTGGTCGCACTGATCGCATTTCAAGAACGGACCCAGTCTGTGTTTCACACGAATATGCACAGCGTAGATCTTGGGGCTACGAGTTTTATAATCGCAAACGGTGCAATTGATCCAAGGCCTCGCGATATATTTAGACTTGGGGACTTTAGGTTCACTCGAATCGAGCTGTTCAGACTTCAGAGGTTTTTTGTTCGGAGTACCCGGTTTTCGACCGCGTTTTTTCTTTATAGGAGCAGGTTCTTCTTCTTCTTCTTCTGCTTCGGAAGGATCAGAAGTTTCGCTGGGTGACTCATCAACATCAGCTCCAAAATCTTCGACAAAATCATGTCCGACGTCGACTTGTATTAGGTCCTTTGAATCTTCCACAGGAATAGATTCTAAGGCGTCGCTCTCAGGTACAGATTTCTTCAGGGTTTTCGAAGCTTTGCGCTTCCTCGACCCTGTAACTTTATCACCAGATGCCACGTTCATTGAGTCTTCAAAACCTTGAGCATTTTGGGATTCGACTTTCAATGCCTGCTCGAACTTCAACAACGCAGGTAGGGTCTTCTTTCCCAAGGATTCTACCTTCCGTTTCTTAGAAGCTGACCTGCTAGACACTCCGACTTCAGCTTCCGTTTCTTCGGAAGCTACTGAACGTGGTGTTCGCTTTCTCGGATACAGAGCACTTCGTCTTCCTGAACTCAGTAGATCGTCTTCCGTAGAGGCAAACGTCTCGTTTGCACTTGAACTCGATTTCCGCTTTCTTCTGCTGTTTTCTTTGTCCGGTGAGGCGCCAGAGTCCTGAGGGGCAATGATTTTGTACTGTCTGGCATCGGTAATAGATCCGCAACCTTCGACATCAACGCCATCAGTCGCAGTCAAAGAATCCAACGAAGCATTAACGTGAGACGATCTAGTTCTATTTGAACTAGTAGTTTCTGAAGCTGTTTTCTGTTTGAGGACGAGAAGTAATGGAGGCATTGTGCTGTTCTCCGCCACTTCTCCCAGAGGGCGATCACGTGCATGAGACGATATTCGATCTTCTTCGGAAGCATTATCCGTTTCTTCCAAAACTTCGGTTTTCTGAAAAAAAGGGGAAAAAATGAGTACAAGCGTAATTGGTTTTTACATACCCTGCACTCCCATAAGAAAGCATTCTGGCTTACATTCTCCAAGTTTCGGAGAGGTGTCACATCAATCAATAAGTCTGACCATAATACTGTGGTCCAATACAGTTCGAAGTGAACTGAAGTCGGACTGTAGATTCAGACATTAGATTACTGTACTGTATTCTCGAATGTTACTCAACATCTCTGGAGTCTATGCTGTGGACTGCAACAGAAAAAAGCATTCCCGAGACATAAACTTCCATATTTCTTACAAAAGAACATCTGAAACATTTTAAAATGGCAGGAAGAAACTGAACTGTACTGCAACAAGGTGATAGCGAGACTTCGTTAATTTAAAAAGGATACAACAACAAAAACAATCCAACGTAACAGGACTTCCATGAATACATTCTAATTCTGGAGCTACTGTAAAACTTCATCGACAGAAACATCATGCGCCACGCCCAAGCATTACTGAATCCGCAACGCTCTTCGAAAAAAAAAAAAAGAGGAAGGATTTGTCAATGAATTCTTACCACAATGACTTCGCAATTTTGCAGACCTCTGACAAGTGCTTCATCATGTATTCTCAATGGATCATCTTTCGAAAACTCGTCTCTCCAGGATGCAGGCGCATTCAGCATTCCAACGTTCTCCTAAGAGATCACAAGAAAGTACAACTTCACACGAAACAGAGTACATTAACTATTAGTAATGCAAATTTACCACTGGCGTCTCATAAATGGATCTCTGCCTCAGCTGACACAGGTGCGTGTGAAATTTCTGTTTGTACAGATCGCAGACGCTGACAAGGTCATCACAAGAGTGGCAGATGAAGTTAAATTCCGGTACATCTATCCGATGGTTTACGTGATTGAGCTCGAGGAACTGTTTGATGGAACACTGTTCGAAATGAAGCACCTCTATTATTCGTTTCTTGAGTTTCTCGTCACAGGTGCGACCGCAAACCACGCACGAGCTCATGGCTGCAACGCCCCCCTCTGCAAAAAGGGAAGGATAAATTAGCATTGCCACCTGAATGATGAGAAAACTATGTTAAAATTCAATGAATAAAACACACGCTTTCTTTTTTCCGTGCAAAAATCAATCACTCAGCCATTCTCCTAAACTCGCAAATGAAAGCATAAAGCAGGATAAGGAAATCCGGGATACATTCAATATCATAAACGTAACATGAAGGGCACATTTTTTTTTGGCTGAAAAACCCCCACGGCGTCATCTTCGTATGAAATAATGTAACATCTACTGTAATTCACGTCTTGATGACCGTTAAGGTCGTCATCCAAAATTATCGAAAGAAATCTATCCTATCTGTATTATTGAGCACCTTTCGCAAAAAAATCTATAATATCAAATAAAGTCAGGTGAAAAGTTGAACAGTTTTCGATCTCCAAGCTGCAGAGATGTTTTCTTGTTCAAGCATCTTTTCAACCGGTATGGTTTATGTAAATTTTCACTCAATGCACTTCGATCCAAGTTTACCTGAAACAGCAAACCAATGGCAGTTAATCGTCAATTGCATAAGAGTTGAACGATAAAACCAGTAAGTTCCAGAAGTCGGGGAAAATATCGGCTTTTTCTTCATGAAAAGCGACTCAAGTAGAATATCACAAGTAATCCTCAAAATGAACTAAACTCTCCGGGAGATTGAAAAAAAAAATTATCACGTTCTCCGAAACGGGGTGAACAAGTCCGCCATACACTCTTATTTTTATAACGAACAACAGCCCAAGCGAGGGATTCCGGGAGCTTACGTTATCATGCATAATCTGTTAATCCGAGAGAAGGTAAGGCCAGTGCCGTGAAAAACCGCGGCTGTCAACAAGGTCCAGGTAAAATCAATCATTGTGTTTAAGTCACACAAAAACGCGAGCCAGCAAGTTGCGCGGCAAATGGCGGTGCGGCGCCTCAACGGCGAAAGGTTTCCGCATGTCTAAAGCCGGAACTGTCGCGAAGACTGTCGTTGTGCGTTTTGTATTCCAACACGGTTTGGGGAGGGAGGTTGAGAATGCGTTTGATGGTGTTTTGAATTCGGGCCGTCGTTGCCTGATCACTGGCTGTCCTATTCCACAGCGCGATTATGTCTTCCCCGTACCGCACAGACACAACCACCCCGCAGATCTCTTCGCCAACCATGAATTGCTCGCCAAGCATGGCCATGCACAGAATTTCCCAGAACCGTGACGAGAGTCCTTTGCGCAAACGCACGATCCACTTTCCACCGTTCCGATTTGCATCGTCCTGCGAAGAAAATTTAAACCTTCCATTGCTTAGACTAGGAGCTTACCAATAGGACTACACCTGGACTTCATCGAGATACAGTGAGGTACAGTACTATGAGATACCGTATTACATAGTACAACATTCAGGTGCGAGAAAACATCATAGTGGTATTTTGGCAGAAAAAAAGCGAACTGCAAAATTTTTGAAAAATCTTGCTCATTGAACTGTATTTTACAAATGCGTTCTGATAAGATTTATTCAAAATTGAGTCAACAAGGGACTTGAAACCAAGTCCCTAGTAGAATTATAGTTAAAACGAATTAAATCTGCTCGCGTTCTAATTTAGGGTTCGAATAGAATGACGGCGATGGGCACTGGAAATCCATAAAAAAATCTTCTAATTTGCTTTATTTTTTGTAGAATTTAATTTCAAACAAATGATGCCAAAATTTGTTTAATCATGTTGCAGGTGCTCTGAAATTTTTCATTTTTAAAGAATACTTTCAAAGTTCTTTAAAAGTTGCCGAAACAGCTATTAGTTCTTTTCTTCACAGAATTTGAATATGAAAAAGCACTGCGCAGGCAGATTTAGCTATGAAAATTTCAAAACGTTTAATGCAACAAAAAGAATCGTCATTTCATCGACGTACACCTACATCCAAAAGGTTTATCTCACGGTCTTTACTCACCTCCCATAGCGGCTTAATGCCGTCTTTGAACATGTGAAAATCCGAATTGGTCGTCAATTCGCTGGGTCGTTTGAGGTAGCTGTAACCTTCCCAAAACTGCTCTACCGTGGCGAACCGGTAGACCCGTTTCAGATTCTGATCGAAGTTCTGCGTCGAAGTATTCTTGCCCTGTTTCTTTCGACTGAACCATAAGCAATACGTGTGCTGAAGTCTGTGATGGTTGGGCGGAATTTCAATAGGTGGGAGCTGAGAAAAGAAAAATAAAAACAACACATGTTAAATAAAAATGAACAATTGGATGACACCCGATCATTGAAATTAGGAGCGGTAAACAAGAATTTTTCCTCACATCTTCGCAGTCCAGAATCTTGTCTTTTTGAGCCTCTTGACTGATCTCAGCCGCAACTGCCAACATTATGTTTATCTGAAAGCAATGGAAATTGATGATTATCGTCACACGCTCAACAATACAACTCAAGGCTTCAACATCATACCTAATTTTTTCTTCAAAAAAGATCCACAACGAAACAAAGTTTCTTTGCTATCACAATCACAGGAACGGATCACCTGGAATTCCGCGAACACTCCTCTGAAACGGGAATCAATTTGCGATGAAAGCATTTCTGAATCAATCAGCATGCCAGAAACAATTAAAAAGATGGTAGAAAGTCTTTCACACGACAGTCTTTAACTTCTAGCAAACTGAACCTGAAAAATTAGCATATCCAAAGGCGGATAAAAACACTTCGACAGTAACACCAGGAGAAAATTACACTCTTGCTATTTCAGGTAAAGTATACTACATTCAAAATTGTTTTTTCCGACACACTCACAGAGAAAAATCTTTTCTCTGCTAGAAACAAATAAGTCACGGAAAAATTATTGAATATCCAAGTCGCACTCGGCAAAAAAAAATCTCAATTTCCTCAACACCAGAAAAGAAAGCGACAAACACGAGGGCATTTATTCTTACAATGACCCCAGACTTATCACTCCATAAAAACTTCCGTCACAGCAACTCGACACGTCGTCTTCTTTTCCCCGAGATTTTAATCAAACAGAAGTCGAGCAATATACCTATTCAGACACGACAAAATATGACACGAAAAAAAACAAAAGGATCCTTCAAGAAATTCCTACAAATCCAACATGGCTACCTCTCTGGAACTAACACACTGCTTGCACGCGTCTTCCACATTCGGGTATTTAAAGGAGAACCCCGCTTCTAGGGTTCGTTTCGGCAGTACTTTCTGTCCCTCTAACATGATCTTCGCTCTTTCAGGACCGAACATGAGATTTACGGCGAAACTTGGCACAGGTAATATTGCAGGCCGTTTCATGGCTTGACCTAAAGCGGTCGCAAACTGCGAGTTGCTGATTAAATTCGGCGCGACTCCATTCAGCACACCCTTCACCTTTAAAACGAAGGATTGAAAAACCCAGGGAGGACTTCAGTCATCGATCGGTAGTGATTTTAGAACCGTCCTCAGTATGTGAAGACTTGCTTTTGGGATAGATTTTCTGACGGACACAATTCCATGAATAAAACTGTTCAACTTCAAAAGCTATTCATTTTTATTCCTTCTCACAACTACACAGAACATCTATGCTGTGGAGTTTGGAGAGCTTCACAATAGGTCCGACAGCTTCTAGAATGCGAGTAATTAATTCTCGAGGAAAGCGGATGAAAAGGACATAAAATTCATATTTTAAACTTGTTCTTTTAATTTACTATTAATTCTAAATTTTAAAAATAGAAATAATTGTACTACTCCTGAAGAAATGGACTGATTTTGCTAAGAATTTACCTGGGGATTTTCCACTGCGTACACGAACAAACGGGCGACGTCAGCAACATGGATCCACGGAAAGGGTTGTCCTCCGGACCCAACATGTCCACCCACACCAAAGAAGAATGGCCAGTACATGTTCTGTATCACTCCGCCATCTCTGCCAAGTACGACGCCTGAAAGGGTGAACACGGATTTTAAAAACATTGTCTATCGCCCTGAACCAACAAAACATTTTACACTTCTCAAAACCTGAGCCTGTAATTACACTTCACGCCGAAATTGACTGAACAGCCAATTAAAACATATCCGAATTTTTCCCATTTTATCCATTTTCAAGTATATTTTTATATGAAACGCATAAAATGCATTGGATAATGCTTTTCAATAGGAAGGTATTAAAAAAAAAAACTGCTAACATTCAACGAGAAGAACTCATATCAAGGAAAATTTCACCGAAAGCCGCTAATTTGACGCATGCGTGTGTTGAGCTGTTTTCAATTCATTTTAGTAAACGTTCAATGCTTGAATATATTTGCACAGATATTGTACTTGCCAATTCTGATGATTGCGTGACGAACGGCAACATCCTCAGGAATTTGCGCGGCATCCTCCCATGCAGCACACAACTCAGCAAGATAATCCCCCTTACCACCCTCGCTTTCTTCTGTATATTCTCTTGCGTTGTTCGGCTGGTAAAACCCTAAAAAAAACGGATCATAACCATGCAGGATGCATCATAAAACAAATCCGATTAACCATGCTATTAGATTACCATAACAATGCTCGAATTCAGATAAATTTAAAGGAAATACAGCTGCTTAAATGCTGTGATTAAAATTCGATTTTACTGTCTTATTCTACTCGTTCAACAGTACTATCATCCGTGGTTTTTTTCGAGGTTCAACGGAATGTCGATAATATGAACGACACAGTTCATCATTTCTTCATATCTCGGGTTCAGTTTTTAATATTTGATAAGTCTTCAAGATGCCCTTTTTCAATAATCAAGATTAAAATAAATATTCCAGGAGATGAAAATCGTACCGACTGCCGAAGTGGAAACGAACACGTCCGGACGCTTTTCTGCACCAACAATCGCATCTCTCAGCAACTTAGTGGTGTTGATACGGGAATTCCAAACTTCCGCCTCGAACAACTCCGTCCATCGCGAACCTGGCTCCAATATATTCCGTCCCGCAAGGTTGATCACAGCTTTGGTATCCGACGGCAAACCAGACTTTTCAATATCTTGCTAAAATAGAAGTGCAGAAGTTGTTAATACCGTATTCAACATTTTAAAAGAGGAAGGCAACGCTAACCCACGTCAGACGCCCAGCTCCGGCATGTCTTGACACAAGAACAGTTTCGTGCCCTCGACGTTGTAAAGCAGCTTGCAAGGTTCTGCCAATAAATCCACGACCACCACCTGAGAAGAAATTCACAATGAAGCATCAGCGAAAATTGTCCGCTCACTCATGAAAGTTATGACCATCCAGCATTGTTTCGTGACATTCCACACGTGTAAGAAAAAAATAAAAATGCAATTGCTGCGCCGATGTTATTAAAATGATGCTGCATTAAAAATTGCATTTCTGTATTCTAAATAAAATTTCTTTCTAGAATCAAATTTTAGAATAAATATAGGTCTCCCAGGCAATTTCATTTTGGGAAAATAAAAATTCAAAAGGTAAAAGGCACACTTACCGACAACAACCAGTTTCGACATCACTCCTCGCTCAGTCAACTGACTCAAGATTTCGCATCAACTCACGGGTGTCTGCAGCAGGTAAAAGGCAGACAAGCAGCATCAAAGGATAGAAGACATGCACGGTAAATCCGAAACTTTTTTTGAAAAATTTTTCAACTGACAGACACATCGGGCAACGTTTAATTTCTTCCAAATAAAAATTTGCGAGCGAAACGAAACATTATAACGACATTATCACACCAGAAGAACAGCGTTGATGCAACCGTCGTTTTCCGGATGATTTGTCACCTGTGCATACTTTCCCCAAACAACTTTGCCCGTCTGAGTCACCAAACCAAGTTCGCTGATGTTGACTTCAATGATAGTTCCTTTTGTTATTGCCCCGAGAGAGGTGTACATGGGTGAGCTGGGATTTCGTTTCACGCCCAAGATTGGCAACTGGAACGTGGCTTTCAATTCCGGATGAGTTACATGGGCCTTGTTGCACCGTAACGCCATGGGGCGGATGAAACGCTCGAACTTCGGCGGTTTGCGCGTGAAACCATCACCGACAAAGCACACCTTGAATTCATCAAAAACCATCCATTTTTTATAATTCTTAATCCAATTCAACATTCGCTTTTTCATTATAAAGATCTGAACTTAATTTCGCGACGGTTTACAGGGTCTTCAATATATTACAGGGCCTTTAATAGGTTATGCTAAGCTAGCCTCGTTAAGTTGTGGTCAGGTCAGCTTCGATTCGGTCACTTCAATTTTCAACGATTCTTTCGGTTCAAGGGGCACCTGTCTGACATTTCAGAACGCAAGATCCGGTGTATGAGTGAAATGCTTTCGTTTTGGCACATTATTTTAAAAATAAAAATAATACTGTACATCTAGTAAGGTATTCGCAGAGTGAAATTTACAACATCGGCTGTACAAGGAGGTATGCTTCCTCGAAATTTGGCCAAAAAAGGTAGAAAATTTTTTCGGGAATACCAGATTGCATCATTTTGAGAATTTTAAATGCATTTTGTAAAACATTTTTTTTTTCAATTAGGAATAAATTACAAATACCATTTCTAGAGAACTACCATATTATCGTTTCAAGGCTTCTACGTTTTGTTTTCCGTTTTCCAATAGAACGAATAAAACGATTTCTTCCAGAGAACAATAGAAGAGAACAATTTCAAAGTACCGTGATTCTGATGTGATCACAAATTTTATTGAAACAAGGAAATATTGTATAGTCGACACAACATATACAGTACTTATTTTTCCTCTTCATTTCTCCATCTTACAGCATGGACTTCGGAATCGCACCTCGCACGAACGAATGAATGAATGAATAAAACACTAACCTTAGTGACCATTCGCTTCCATGCCTTCTTCCTCCTCTTCCCACTCTTGATAACTCGGAACATTTCGGCCTCACACTGTGCCCGAACTTTCGGAATAGGTACTTCCCACTTCCCGGCCTTTTCCTTGCGTTTCTGCTTCAACATGTTGGACAGAACTTTGCCACGGTTTTGTTGCTCGCGATCCAGCAGATACACCGGCACGGCTCCTTCAGCAACCTTCTCTTCTTCGCGCTTCTTGGATAATTTTTCCTCATGAGCCTTTATGGTCTTGTTCATGCGAACCTTTTCTGAATGACGCTGCTTTGCATACATTTTGGCTTTAATACCACGAAGCTTCTTGGCCATGTACGAGGCCTTTTTGCCCGCACGAGCCTCCTTCTTGCGTTTCCGCTCGTGGTAATCCAAGCGAGTTCCATGTCTAGAGGAGAAAAAATGAACCGTATACGCAATGAAGACTTCACAGAAACACACCAGCATGACATATTCAAGTCCAGTGTAGTGGGAGACAAACCATGCGAAGGGAGCTGCATTTTACAAGCACTTTCCTGAACTTGGCCAGGGTCATACGTACACACACACTCAACAAGAGCATTTCAAAATGTAAGGTCCGTCACACATCATAAAATCCCCGAAAATCGAGAGTTTGGAAGATAAAAATTCCACTCACCGTTTACGATGGAGCTCAATATGCTCGTTCTGTGGCATGATTGATCACTTCGCACGCGGCGAAACACAAACGTTGCTCGAAGACTGTCTAAACGCTGCTCAAAGACTGTCTGGAAGAACAATCATCATTTAGGACGCTTACATAAAAAAATCGACGCACTCTGAACAAAAAACGGCACCCGCAAACTGCATTTGTCAAAATGGAACTGCGCGTTTCAAGCCTCCATATTTCAATCATTAGGCAAAAAATGCGACGCTTCAACCACAATGATCATCAGATTATCAGCTGCCGGCCAAAACGCACATCCGTCATATCTGAAGAAAAATCGTGAAAACAAAAATGTTGCACATGGCAATTCTCAAACCAATTGCCTAAAAATTTCTTCAAAAAAGATCCTCAAACCCTCTCTGGGATTTTTAAAAAAGGATTCTTCCAAAAGAGAAAATATTCAGAAAAACAAATTTCCTCAATTTTACACCCACAGCCCCTTCATTTTTCCGACTGGACTAAAACAAAATGCCAAGAGAGGGAAAAAAGACGGATTATTGCATGTGAACGCTTTGAGATTCAGTCAATTTGATTGTCAGGAGATACAAAAATGGAAACTTATCGAGGAATGAGTTAAATTGTTAGCTAACTACGGCTGGCCATCCCACGTATCGTTTACAAAAAATATTGTTCATCAAAAACACTAAAAAACAATGAAAACGTCAAAGAACTATTCTCAATCTAGGCCGGGGACTTCCGGAAGATTTTGCGTTTCAAAATAGTTTCTTCTTTTGAAAGTCTCCTTCAACAACACAACGGAAAAACACCCTAGCTAGGACACCGGCGCGGCTACATAATCCACCTCTTCCTTGGCATTTAACCGCCGATGAAAGGTGTCGATGGCCAATTTCCTATTCCCTACCATGCCGTGTTTGACCTTCATATGTAAATAATAACTAGCGTCATAACTAGTTAAATAATCGCATAGATGGCACTGCAACCTTCCACCTTCGTGACTCGCCACGTGTTCATCGAACCGCTTCTTCCAGTAATACACTTTCTGGCAATGATCGCATTTGTACTCCCGCAAGTCCTCGGTTTTCTCGCCATGCACTCGATACATGTGCATTCCGAGTTGTTCCAAAGTTCTGAACACCTTGCTACACTTGTTACATTGCCGCGTGGTGATAAAGTCTTTGCCTATCACGTCGTGCCTCAAAGCGCGATGAATCGTCAGTCCGTGGCGGTACGAAAACTTTTTCTCGCATTCTGGACAAGGGAATATCGGTTTCCTAGGCTTCTTCTGAGCCGGTTCGTGGGATTTGAGGTGTACCTTGAACCGAACTTTCGGCACGGATTCCCCGCAATGCGGACACAGTTCGCATTCCCCGGTTTCATTGTGGGCGAGCACCTTGTGGTTCTCGATCCCTCCAATAGTATCGTAGCCCTTGCCGCATAAATCACACACGAAGGCATACGGTAATCCGTGCACGGTGTGCATATGGGCAGTGAGTTTCAGCTTGGAATAGAACATTTCCCCGCAGTCGGAGCACTTTTCATTGTTCTCAGTGGCACGTTTCGGACGCACGGTTCGTTCACGAGGAAGGTGACCACGACGATGGCGCTTCAGTTGCGCCCACGTGAGAAATCCCTTCGAACACAGATCACACTTGACCGGATGCTGCTTCCCGTGGTCCTCGTGGTAATGTTTCCGGCGTAAGTGGTAAGACGGAAAGAAGACTCCGCACTCGGGACACCGCGAAGGCTTCACTGCTTTCTTCTTGTCCCGCGTCTTGACCATACACTCCAGTACCAAGTTATTCTCTTCAATTATGACTTTGGACGAAGTTCCTCCGTCGTCGTCGTCCTCCTCCTCTAGCTTGCAATTTTCCAACTTTCCTTTGTCGTCTTCGTCTTCTTCCTCGTCCTCATCCTCCTCTTCGTCCTTGGAATCCGGGTGAGACGAGTCAACGTGTTTCTTGAGGGCGGAGGAAGACAAGAATCCCTTGTCGCAAACCTTGCAATGATACGGAAGCTCGTGTCCGTGTACAGAGTGGTTGTGTTTGTGGCGCGTGAATGCCGATTTGAAGGACATTTTGCACTCGGTGCACTTGTAAAGGAATCGCTTGCCTCCTCCTTTACCCCTGGAGTAAGTTGGATCAGACGCTTCCTCCACTTCCATTTTGACGGGAAGAGACACGTCCGGGAATATTTCCAGGGTTTCCGGGGGTTCTTCGAAAGGAATATCGCCCGCAGGTTCCGCGTCGGGGAGGAAGCTTGAGTCGCTGCTGTTGGAGTCGAAAAAGGTTGCGGGAACGGTTTCGTCCAAAGCGGGGGGTTCTTCGGAATCATTTCTTTTCTCGTTTTCGACCGGGTCCAAACGCCGGACAATCACCTGGAACAGTAAAATACGAAGACAGGATTCGATTAGTTACGCGTGAACAACTCGGGTATATGTTCCAAATTAATTCAGGACTCGACTCTCCTACACCCCTGAGAGTCGACAGTGTAATTTCATTTCTCGTCAAATAAGTTTCGCATAAATTTGAAAAAAAGGAAAGATCAACGAGAATATTCATGACAGGTAAGAAATAATACAGTATTTCGAAGTACTGTAGTTCACTTACAAAAAGCACCTATCCTCCAAAAAACCAATCGACTTGAATTAAACACTGAAGCGGGAAAAATGAGAAGAACTCTATTTGAATTTCCGGCTTTCAAAAGTCTTTCGTTTCCACCACAATATATACACGCAAAAATATACAGCTTTTTAATTACGCTGGAATCCACAGATGGTAAGGAATAAAAAAATAAGAATAAACATACGGTAAAAGTAAAAGGTCAAATATATTTCACTGAAGCGAAATAGACTAAATTTGCAGAAATCGATTAGAATTACTCGAATTTAAAGATCTTAAAAATTTCCTCCTCATAAAATAAGCGAAAAAGAAGTCGACGTAATTCAACCCCACCGATAAGACAGATAACGAATAACTTCTCGACGCAGATCACCTTGAGGATTAAGTTCCCTACAAGAAAAAAGGAAATCAATTGTTGATAAGACACGATCACGGAAAAATGACGCGAAATCCAATTAGAACAACTCGATGTGAATTTCAGACATTCACTAGAGCATTTGAATTTCTGGCATTGCAAGAAAAGCTCCGCAATAGATTTTTTTCTTCGAACAAAGCCCAATCCATGGTATCGTCAGAAGAACGATAAAGTAGTCGGGCTCGAAAATGAAATATAAATTTGTATGTCGATTTACTTAAATGAATTTTTTCAAATTTGAACAGAGTTTTTCTTAAGGTTTCTTCAGATTAGGGAGTTCATCCGAGCATTTTACATCTTCCACTTGGTCCGATTTTGAGGGAGTTGGACAAATAATATCAATCGGACTTGAGGAAGTGCCTGGAAAATTATCATCACGATGCTTTTCCTTCTTCTTTTTCTTTTTGCTGTCTCTGTATTCTTCTTTCTCCTTGCGATCTTTCTCTTTCTTTCGCTTTTTCTTCGAAATTTTGCGGGATTTAAAATCCTTCGAAGGATCAGTGTCAGATCCAGAATTATGGGCTAAATCGCCGTCAGACGCAAGAATCGGATGCTGAGACAATTTATCGACGCTGAGTAGCGTCTGATCTTCAAGTGCAACGTTCGGAGTTCTTTGAATCGAATCAGGATTGACAACCGGCTCTATAGTTAAATCGCCTTCTTTGATTTTCCTGTCTTTCGTGAGAACGGCGATAACATCGTCCAGACGCTTAGCTTGGGATGACCTTTGAGTTTTCGACGATTCCGGACCATTTCCGGGAATAATAGAACTGTGTAATGAAATATCAGATGGAGACGCTTCAATAACTGTGGACGGAGGGGAGATCACGTCCAACGAGTTCTTTCCTTCGAGCCTTTCCCTTTCTTGCACGAGTCTCAGTTTACGCTGTTCTCGTATTTCTTGTTTTGTCGGAGGCAAGGGTTTTCCGGGATGCACTGATTTCACGTGCTTTCGGAGACTGGACTTGGACGAGAACGGCTTGGATTTACAGTAATGACACTCCAAGAGGAACCTGTGCAAACAAACGCCTGTGAGTGAATCCATTTTGCAATTTAAATTAATTTGGCAACACGAAAGCAGTACATGAGTTACTTCATAAGTTTTGTCGGGCTCGTGCTTCTGCTGTCGGGAGTCTACTCGGATATGAGTACAGTACTGTAATTTATAATTGATATTCAAGTTTTTATCAATTTACTGTGCTGACCAATGCTCCAATTTTTGGCTCACGCTGGATGAAATACTCGAGACTTCTCGAGAAGAAAGAGAGAGTATGTGTATAAGTCTTCGTTCAGTAGACTTCGTCAGCGAGGGAAACAAATGTGGCTTCCGCAAAATAAGCAAGTTCTGCGAGTTGGCAGGAAGTCGAAGTAACTCTGCAAATTCAAAATGAGTTTTGTATAATATTGACGAAAACAAGTTTCCCCAGGGACAGGTGTAAAAATTCCTTCGAGAATGAAGAAAGGTTTGTATCAAGTCTAATTGATCGTTGTTTCGAAAAATTTGGTTTCAGAAACTTGAGTACTACGAGGAACTTCATTTAAATTTTACTGACTAAACTTTCGAAACATACACCCGTTCCTTCCTATTTCGAGAATTCGGAGATTTTTCTGGTGGGGTTATTCACACACAGACATTGATTAAAGATGACTGAATTGAAAAAGGATTCATTCAAAATAATTCACGAAAGAGGAAAATAACGTACGTTCGAAGACCTGTAAATACAAAGTCTCTCAAAACCGCGCGCTAATCACAAAATCCGGTTGAAATATACGTGAACTGTCAAACATTCCAGAGAAACTCACAATTTTTTCCCCACCACCAACGGCGATTCAGGGGATCCCATTCCGTCAACAAAAATTTCCCGAGTTCCCGAATCTTTGGGCGCATTGCTGGGGCCAGCATTCGCAACGAGCGCTTCAAAGCGATCCACAGGTCCGGATCCAAATCGGGAAGAAGCCGTTTTCGGCGGCAGAGGGATTTTAAAACAAACTTGACCACTACTTCCGGGTTCTTCCTGACGAGAAGTATCCCTGGTCATCAGAGAGTTTCCGACCAAGGCGCGACCGACAGAAACGCTTTCAACTTCCACGCCGGGTTCGTAACCCTCGTGATGGGCTACAATCACCGAGTTGAACAAATTCGCCGTTCCCGGGGTTTCTCCTCGGTTAGGGAGTCTCAAGATGTCCGCTTCGAAATCCGTGTAGAATCGTAACGCCGCTGATAATTCCATGTGGTTCGGTGGCTCGAAATCAAGCCCAGACATTCTCAGGTCAGCGATGTTTCTGAATCATTCAAATTTTAATTTTAATATTTTCCAGAGTTCCGCGTATAGCTCCGATTTTTTTCGGAGCAGTTTGAAAGACGAATTTACATTTGATAGTATTTTAACTGGCGCGCGTCAATGTTGCAACAATTTTCGTTCGACTTTATGTTGAAAAAATGTTGAAAAAAATTATAGAGACCCCGAAATATTTAAAAAAGGAACCTGTGGAAATGTCGACAAAATTTCAAACAAAATAAAATTTTTCGTCCGGCTACCAGGGCGAGAAAAAAAAATTGAAGATCGCGCGGAGTGATGAAAAGCCTCGAATGAGTGGGTTAGGGAAAAATGTTGCCTGTCTTGGATCAACACAACAGCATTTTTACTAAAACAAATAAACTTTTGACGAAGCATAATACAATATTTATTAAATAATCGACTAAATGTCTATTAGAATACACTTCCTCAAATGTTTATCCAAGTCACAAAAAGATCCTTGATTATAGGCAGGTCTCACCAAAATCTCTTACCACGAGAGAAAATAAATCAATTTAACCAGTCAGACCTCAACTGAACTGATCTAGCACGACCAAAATTGACCAATTAGACAATGAATTACACTTGATTTTTTAAAAATTTACAGGTTACATTTACGCAATGGCCAAACCGAATCGTATGAGACTTCAGCCAGTGGAGTAAAAAACCCCAAATTACGAAATAAAATAGAGAGCATAAATGCAAAAAAGATGTTTGGTTTCCGCGCGGCCAATGAAGAAATTAATGTTGATTAGCTTGATTGTTCTTTCAACTCCTTCATTTCTTAGAACCATTTCATAAAATATATCGTAGCTTGTCTTAATTTTCTTCAGTTGTCCCGAGGTTAGATAAGCACGACGCATATTTTTTTATTGTGGAAGACGGACAAAACAAGATTACTGCATGAATCTTCAACCGGTTATTTGACGTTTTTCACGAGTCCAGTTTTCTCTTGAGAGCTGAACCCCATGTGGAAACCAGTCAGCCCAGATGATCGGAAGAAAAATTACGCAAAGGTCGTTTTAAACATTATTCGGGGCTGATTGCACCATTCTACAATAATACGAAGTACAGTCTGGACGTCTGTAAAAGAAACCTACTGATGACAGACTCCATCACCCCCAGACCAGGTAGATTCTTGCACAGCTTCTTCTGCCGAATTTCCCAGGACCACATTCCAGGATACGCCATTTCCGTCAGTTGTCGCATCGAGATTATCTCGTTCGCCGATCAACGCTCGATAAAGATCAGGATGGTCTTTGAACGCATCCGAATCAGGTGTACAATGCTCAAAACCTGGGCCCCAGGATTCCTCCTGTGACTGAATCGTACGAACTAACGGCTGCATGTCGTCGAATTCGAAGTCAGGAAAAATCAAAACCAGGCCACCGTCTTTCTCTTTCAGCGCCGAATTGTTGACGATTTCCTACCAAATAGCGTAGAGCTAGAAGCTTCGCGGACTCTCCGAATTTAAACGGAACTTTGAAGAAATCCCATACACGTGTAATTTACAATATTTCGACTAAAATGGTCGTCCCATCGTATGGGAGCATCAGACACGTGTCGTCTTAATCTCAGAAACTAGAAGAAAAATCACTGAATGCGCCTCAAGTATGGTAACTTCTGATCCTCTGAAATAATTGTCCAACACACATAAGCCAGAGTTGGCTCCATGAAAAAAACCCCGCGGGAGAAAAAATCACGCGGCCCAAAAATCCCGTACGCCTAAAACTCTTGCGTGGTCCGAAAATACCGTGAATACTACGAGATCGTAAAATTGTGTCTGGGATGAAACAGTAGATCAAATGGCAATGCAAGATGGAAGACAAGAAAATCAGTGCATTTCTTCTTCTAGCATGGCCTTCGGGTGGAAATCTTGTAAGAGTTAAAAACGTGTTGAATTTTGAAAATGTGTCTTTATGCGATTCGCCATGTATTGAACAGTACATCGAATATACAGATTGAGATTTGAAGGAATGCAAAATCACAATTATATCGCATGTAGACTTTCTCAATCATGGTATGCTAATGTACATACCATTAGCTATTATAGTTATCAACGGGGATTCCTCTAATGCAAAAATCATATTTCGGGATTTTCGTTCCTGCGGGATTTTTGGATCTCGCAAGATTTTTAGGCCTACAGGATTATTGGCCTCACGGGATTTTCAAGCCGCGGGATTTTTCTCCGGCACCCGCCAGATATATTCTAAAATCAATAGTTTTGAAGAATATGTCGAAGCGGCAATTTTACGTTCGAAGAAAGTTCAAACCTACTATTCATCAGCATAATTCAGTTCAAGGATTTCCAAATGGATTAAGAAAGGAGGAGAGAGAATGGCGCACAAATTACTTGAGAATAGGTTGCAAATGTTGGAAGAAATCTATACAGTAATTAGCATTGCTGAACAACTGGTTATACTGCATTTTCATAACCAAGCAGAAAACAGACCAATTTGAGGGAAGGAACGACGATGTTCTCTTCGCAAAATGGAACAACAAAGATATATTCAAGATATGCCTGTTCAATAAAAAAAAATGGCACGGGGCGTAGAATTTTCGATTAAATACGGTATACAATACTCAGTTCAGTTTCTATTCTACCAACTTGATCACCGCAGATTGTATTTAAAATATTTAATTTGGCCTCTGTAGTCATGGCCCAAGTTTTAAACCAGCTCAGGGAGGAACGGTTCAGCTAAGAATCGAAAATAGGATGCATTGAACTTTGAATTAGAGGTACAGTACGGTATTAATGAAACAGTATTTTTTTTAGAATAAAAATAAAATGAATTAAAAATGATCATTTGCCAAGTAGTACATCCAAATTTGGAATGTGAACGCTTTTGTGCTTTGGTAGTTGAACAAACATGACAAAGGCCGAAAAGCTCAAGAGGTGTTCGAAGCAACAACAAAAAAACACACCTCCATGACAGGTGCCATTTTCGCCACGTCTGCAGCATACAGAAGCCCCCGAGCATTTCCCTTGAAGAAAAATTTAACGGGTCGTTTTGAATTCGCGGTGTCATCTTCAACATGGTCTTCGTCGGAAGACATAACGTCTCCAACTGCTTCCGCAGAGTCTAGGTTTTCATCGACTTCTCGAAAGCTTTCGTGACGGTCTTCGTCAGAGTTCGTCACCTCCTCGACTTTAATGTTTTCCACTATTTCATCCTCGAGAAAACCATGAACACTTTCATTCAGTCGTTCTTCGATTTCTTCTTCCTCTGACGTTCTCGAATCTTTTTCCATCGCGTCGTCTCGGTCTTCCAGTTCAACATTGTTTTCTGCTCGATCCACGTCGAGATCTTCATGCTTAACGACTCTGTAGCGTAAATCAAGACCTTTCCCGATAGGAGTCTCATTCGATCGTTCATCCAAACTCGACATTTCTGCAGGTTCGTCATCAAGAATCACAGAAACATCCGGTGAAATCATGTCGAATCCCTTACGGGGTCCAACAGGCGTGCTGTTAACCAATGACTCGACCTGACTCGACTTCAAGATGGAAATCCCATCAATTGAAACTCCGCGAGGTGGCGATATTTCCATAATTTTGGAACTCGTTGATGGATAGTTTGGAGCATGTTCTCGTTTTGGGATGGAAACGCATCGCGAGTCTTCTTCCGAAGAAGATTCGCCGGAACTGGGACGTTTCTTCGTTGCCTGCTGTTTCCTGGGCACTAGGAAAAAATTAGCTGAGAACATCGCGTTTTTTTTTTCGAGGCTTGACCAAGTCTTCGCATAAATAACCCCGTTCTTGTGTACGTAGTGTTGGATTAAGTTTTTAATCACATTTTTTCCTTCGATCGGAATGACCACGTTCATTTATTTTTCAAGATTACAGAATATATATGTATAGTATTATTCAAGTGTCGAAGAAATTGTTTATAAAAAGGAATTATGAACCAAGGTTCGAAAAATGTTTCTCCAAATTTAATGGTCATAAATAATTCGTCCTATCAGGAAGTTATACAGCAAACGCCAACTTTTTTCAAAAACGTATTAATATTTTAGTATCTGAATTACGGCATTAATTTGTATTACAAGATAAATACTGTGCTTTACAATTCTTCAACTTTATCTGAAGATGTGCTTTATCTTCTAGAGGTGGAAAAATACAGTGTAACCGTAAACAGTATTACAAAATCATGAAGAATACAACAGCTGCTGAATTGAAGAACAATTACATTCAGAACAAAGGAACAAATAAAAATATAGGAATTTTGGAAACCCAAGAATTTCCTTCGAGAAAAATCGAGAGGACATGACAGAACTACTGAACTGTACTTAATTTTGGTGAGTATTACATTTATATTCAACGCCAGGTCAGGAAATAGACTACGAAGTATTCTAGAACTATGTCATATTTTCATAGAAACGCGGTTAAAAACCACACAACTGACTTACTCTTGGGGTCTCAGAGCAATAGGCAATATTCAATCGTCGCAAACACAATCAAAACAAACTGGGTTAAGAAACACGCGGATTGAGCTAGTCTGGATCGAAAAAAAAGAGAATTGGCGTCAATCGGAATGCCCATGATCAACAAATTCTCGTTTTTAGCAGATACAGTACATTCAAAGAACTACTCACGTAACGAGGAACTTGAAAGACTGAACAATAGTGGCGCAGTTTTCACTAAAAAAAACAACGTGCTTAAAAAATTGCAAAACCAATGGTACCAGAGGTTAACTCAACTGCTCAAGAGAAACTCGCGCAGGAATTGAAATTAAATTGCATTGTATTGCATTGGATGTACCAAAAATTATACTGTATCCCATTTCCAAGCGAAAATATAATTTGAAAGACTTGAGTCGCCTCTAGCCTCCCTAAATGAACATGATGGTCTTGTCAATGCAGCTAAACCCATAATATTACGACTTAATTGCATAATTTTATGAACAATGAAAATAACTTTTGCTTTTTCGGAATGGAAGATACTTGAACCAATTTTAAAGATATTTTTGATCAATCATCAGAGAACTTCGTTCGCCGAATCCCCACTACTTAGTTCGGCGAAATGTCTTGAAACTTTGTAACAATCAATCTTTTTCAATGTCGCTCGCATAGAAAATAAGCCAGTAAAATATAAAACGTATCCGGTACGCCACCTGGAGAGATAAAACTATCGGTGACCCAATTCCGTACCGTAAACGGGCACTAAAACTATACGTACGCAGCAAAATATACCTCATTTCAATCATTTATTACTCAGTTAACCTTCATCGTGTCCCTACTGTACTTGTTATTCAATATGGACTTTCCTGAGCTAGAGCGGGGTAGAAAACGTAAGCTGTCCGATGTCCGGGTATCCAATTGTTTCAAGAAATACAAACGCCGTAAACATTTCCACAATGCGGCATCAAAACTGCCGAATGAAAGAGAAAATATCCCCGGTTCTGAAAGTAGAGGTCACTGCAATGGCTGCTTATGTCCACATCCCAGCTCGCTCGACGTCGGTTATTCCAAATGCTCGGATGCTATTCGGTGGGCAACCGGAATGTCTGCCTGATTTAAATGACACGCTGCTAACCCATGGCATAAATTCAGATATCTAACAAATTATTCGATCTGCAGTACAAACCTTCAAATCAGTAAATCACATGAAGTATATCTGGAGTGCATTGAGCAACTAACTGAGGAACTTTTTGCAAGCATTTCATGTACCTCGAGTGAACATTTAAAAATACCACAATTAAAAATAATGCACAAACGACCTTGAGAATAATCGAATACAGTTCCATAAATCAATTGTATAACAATGATGTTTCTCTAATAGAAGGAACAATTAGCGCTGCATATTTTGATGAAACGACAAATGAGCAAGCGAGATAAGTCTTCTTAAATGTCGGCAATAACTCAAAGACAAGAACGCAAGTAAGATTATCCACACAGTATTGTAAGCCTGATTTCTAAAGTAAGCAGATCAAAGTAAGCATTATATTCTTAGCATGCTGACACAAATCTTCCAGAATAATCCACGGAGAACACATGTTCTCTTCCTTTTTTCGAAATTTGAGATATTGTCACGGAGAGTAGTTGATTTCAAGTTTCAGACGATTCTACTTCTAAGAGAAGAGGCGCGCAATAAGATCTTTCCGATTTAATCACGCTGTTATGCCTGGATTAACTCAATAATAATTACATAATAACAATCAAAATGAATTAATATATCAATGTTACAATTAATGTCGTCCCAACAGAATAAAAAATTAAATTTAATAAAATTATGAACGGAATTCATGTTATTATTGGAACCACATTTATAATAATTTGTCTTATACGATTAAATAAATATCATTTTTCATTAAAACATCACTTTGGATTTGCTAAGTAACTTGCGCAAGAATAGATGGTTAAGCCAAAAGCAATTCTCTTAGCTCAGAACCCAAGTTTATTCAAATCTGACTTCTTACTTCTTAGGAAACTAAATTCCATGATATAGAATTTCATTGTTACTAAAATTATCAATGGCAAAGCGTCCGAAAAAAAAGAACCAAGCTTATCTTCGCGGAGGAAAGTATACATCGCAGTACGGTATTGGCAACGCTTGCGCCTCTCGACAGATCTTTAGCAGCCGAGTGCGCGAAAACAGAGGAACAGCTGCAATCGCAGCTGCATACACTGAAGCTGCAATTGGAGTCAAAAGACAGTTACAGAGGGAAAAACATGATCCCCACAGTTTTACATCGTCTACGAGAGTACATGGACACCTCGAAAAAGTTGCACAAGCGTCTTATTGAAAAGGAGCAGGAAACTAGGCAAACCGAGCCTTTGGGCATGGTCAACCACACCCAGCACTTACGCATTGGCAAAGATGATAGGTGAGCTCTCAGCATCATTTTTATCAAAAGGATTAGGAAAAATAATGCGAGCACGGCATTGGAAAATGAACGTTTTACAATTTAAATATAATAGGGATACATTTAAATATAACTGGCCGATAAATGTGCGTATCATCAACTTCAATTATGTGTAGACTTCAAATTCAGAGCTGTGTCTGGAAATAAAGCTGGACTTATTCGATGACTAGGTTTTACTTGCCGAAAAAAAAAACGGTTGTCAAGTCATCGGAGCTTAGATTAGCCCAGGCTGTTTAAGTTCAATGAATAATTAATGAATAATTCATGAATAATTAATTAATTGACTTTCGGGTAAGCGATTTATCATTCTAGGCAAGGTGAAGCGCAAAAGTGAAGAGAGCCGGAAACCCCAATTTTAGGAAATAAAAAAGATTCAATTTTAATAATTCTTCATAAAAAAAATTTATAGCTTTGAGTCAGCCAAGGGGTCTCATGACCATCACGAGTCAGTTCACAAACACGACTTGGTGGAAGCTATGGCAGACGCAGCAAAGAAAGTGATGGAAGCCCTGCACTCTTTAGTCAACAACATGAGCGACGAAAAATTCAAATCGGCGTTTGACTTCGAAAAGACCTTCAATCGAGAGATTTTGCCATCAACATTTGCCTACGCTCTTCCCATCAAAGCACTTCTGGACATGTGCCCGTTGGTGCTCTTCGAGGCAGACTCCGTCGGGAAGCGAAAGTAGGGGTAAATGGTGACGACATAAATTCTATAAATTTTAACTCTTGTTCTGAAATGTAGAAAAATATGTTCATGAGTTTTTGTTAGCTGATGCCAATGTTTTTTTTTTAATGTCTCTTTCGACCGATGAATTGATGGAAAGAAAATATTCTTAAGAAAAACGTTAAACGTAATGCGATTAGGCGTGGGAAAGGATTGATAAAATCACCCGCCAACCGACAGGAAACATAATACATCATACAAACACAGCAAAAGGGATTCCCTCGAATTCAAGGTTGAATTTAAAACTCATTCTCGGAGTCGAAAATGAATAATCTTTTCATCTCGCCACGTGTACAGTATATTTTTTGCTGAAGCTAATTCGAGGAATTGAAAGATATTTTCTCCATTGAGTAGGTCCTTTCAAAGACGAACATTACGCAAAAAAAAAGCCACCGGAGAAAATATTAAAATTTAAGATACAATTTTCACGAACTGTGCAACACAGAATGAATGTCATCAAAGGTATTTTGAAAAGTCCTCTATACTCATCCCAAACGCATCAACTCGAAAACTAAGATCTCAATCCAAGGAAAACGTTTTTATTAAATTTTACTTCGCTAAAACTAGGTTTCAAATATTGCTTCACTAAAACTACGTTTGTACAATTGGCTTTTCGGCAAAGACAATTTTCTCAACAATTCAATCTGATTTATAGTTGATCGATAAAATTTTCTCCGGGTGATACACGCAACTCTCGTCATTTTTTAAATGCAAAGCTCAGCGAAGACCGAAAAGTATGCCTTGAAATCTTCTTCACATTTCTACAACGATCGAAGCAGATACGTGAACTTGAGAATGCTATTAACATTGTGACACCCGAAAACAAAAACTTCAACATCGGCTTCTTTCGGAAAAGATATATCGCGGTTTTCAAAATTTCACTTCACTTCATGCTTCCAAGTGGCATTCGAATAAGTAACATAAATGTAAAATCTATACCTGCTAAGTCTGGGATTAAGTTCGAGCTAGTATCAACGAATTTTCGAAACTTCATTCTGAGTAAAAATTCAGTTTCGTTTTGCTCACCGCTGCTGAACTTTTGAAAATACCCCCCCCCCCTTCAGAAAATTAACCCAAGAAGCGTGAGAAGTTGGAAATCTGAATTAGGACGGAAGACAAAAAGTTTCCACAAATGTAACCGTTTCTCTAATGAACAAAAAAAAAGCTCTAAAAAGATGTCTCCATTCGACAGACACGAGAAAAATCTACGCAAGGAAGCAACTCCCATTCGGGACTCGATTCTGAAGCGCAACGAATACCTCAAAACACGGGAACACCGCATCGCTGAGATACGGAAATACCTCAAACAAACACGCCGCAATTCTGCTCATCAACTCCTTTCCAACCTAAACGCATCAACCAAGGATCTCTCGGTTCAATACTGGCCGCATGCGACGATTCCGTTCCAGATCGACGAGAATTTCTCCGCACACGAGCGGCGAAAAATAATCCGAGCTATGAACATTTTCAACAAACGCACGGCTGTCAATTTCGTCCCCAAGTCGGAACAAGATGCAAACTACGTTCATGTCCGCCTCGGAAAAGACGACGAACTCTGTTCATCAAATATCGGCATGTTGGGAGGAATGCAAGAAATTGTGCTGAACAAGCTCTGCATGGGCCACGGATCCATTTTGCACGAACTCAACCACGTTGTCGGGTTTGAACATGAGCACTCTCGAAGTGATCGGGACAAGTATGTTCATATTAACTGGGACATGGTGATGGAGGGAGCCGAGAAGAATTTTCAGCGACACGAGAAACGCGACGTGCTGTCTTATGATTACTACAGTATCATGCATTACCCCTGTGACGCTTTTTCGAGGGATGAGAAACAACCAACAATTATTCCGAGAGATTCGAAGGTTGAAATACGAAAACTCGGGCAACGGAGAACCCTTTCGCATTTGGACGTTGAAAAAATCAATTGGATATACGCGGGAAATCTCGAGACCCGCTATGAATTTGGAAATAAAAGTTCTTCATGAGATACATTTAGACTTTTTAGAGTATTAAGTTCATTATTCGAGTAAGTCGAATTTTCTGGGATCATTTTGACTATTATTTTATCGACACATGAAAGAGAAAAGCATTAATTATGCAACGATGTGCTTTGAAAAGAAATGAAAGTTTAATAGGGCAAATAAACCATCTCCAAGTTCAAAATCTTGTCAATACATTTGAGGAGAAGTTTCAAGGCCCAGTATATCACCTGCTACAACATCCCGTAATTCTCATTTCTGTCGCCCAACAAAATGCTTCACTAAAATTGTTCTGCTGGTCCCTCAAAGTTCGATTTGAAGAGGTTCGACTGTATAATCGAAGTATTGTACCACGTGCGGTCCATATTTCAGATTTTAAACGTATTGCATGAAAACATCTAGAAAAATCAGTTTGGGCGAACAGTTGTACCGATTCCAACCCTCAGAGACGAACTCCCATAATTTATCGTTGGACTTCGATTCGTCCTATGCATGAGTGTCGGATAATTCTTCAATCCAAGGGAAACGAAACCGATACATAAAATACGTAAATTAGGTTTGAAAAATGACGAGGGACGAGAAAATGAGAAATTTCATGTACGTTCTCAAGTAAATTCCGTGACGAGAACCAAGAACGAAATATGGCATGCAACCCGGGATTCCTGTTGGTATCCTGCACCCAACTCCTCCAGTCCCACAGAACTCACAAATCACTAACCTTGCTCTCATTGACGACGACGTCACGATGAACGTTGCGGTTCTTCAAGGAATCAACAGCCTGGAAAAACTGCCGGTACGCCTTCTGGCAACTGCCGATGCATTTGGCACACCCGGTACACAGCCAATTTTCCGGCCCACAGTCAACAATGTTTGGAACGATGCCGTAATGCTTAAGAAACTCCGCGATGGTACCGACGCCCGGTTCGAACACGGTCCCACCCGCAATTGCGAACGCGTTCGCCATACCGCACAACGCGCACCTCATCGTCATTCATCAATCGCGACCAACGTCGACATCCAGCAAGAAACCTTGAAGGAGTAAACCAAATCCCGTGGGAGTCCAAATTCAGAAGTCATCAGCGTACGAAGCGAAGATTAACATTTCAAAAATCAGATCACGTTTATCGATCACATTTCACTCACGCCACATATAGTTTTACACACCGTATTTACGCGATTGCGGACAGAGTGATTGCAGGCCACATATTCACTTTGGACAATCGGTTTTATACTAACAAAAAATTCTGTTCGCATGAAATTTGGTATTTCGCGGAAACATTTCGGCTTGGATATAAAGCAATATCATTCAGTAAATAAACCACTCTACATTCCCCAGCCGAGAAGTTCAATCCTATTTTTTTAAAACGATATTTACTTTCCACGTCTGGAAAACAAGCCAGTACAAATGGAAATTAATTAATATCGTCCAGGCGGTGGGCCCAATAAAATACAGTACATTATTTCTGACATAGGACGCATCAGCAATTTTCGTGAGAAGTGATATTCAAGTAAATGCGGTTAACAAAAAGAGACGACAAAACGTACTTCCAAATAAAATTACTCCAGTAAAAAATAAAGATACTTAGATAACTTAAAAACTCTCGTAATAAAAAGTTTTAAAAGTACCCATTCCTGTCATTTTGCTTGGCCAGGAAACATCAATAACTTCAAGAGTAGTGATAAGCTTGCCTCTCACTTCGAACCTGACGCAGTAAGCGAAATTCTGTCAAATTTCTCATTACATAATTCTTACATGAGATTTTGTTAAGGGGTTTTCTTTGCTTTGAATTAATTTCAAATATTGTGCAATGACATTACAACTCGGTCCTAAATCGGCAAGGACATAGAATAAGTCGGGGAAGAAGCATCCAAAGAAAAATATTCAATAAATAATGGTCCAGCCATTATTATATCACAGGCGTTCTTCCTTGTGCATACGTTTCCTATGAACACGAAGATTACTAGTGTAATTCGTTCGATATTCGCACGAACTGCACGAAAAAAGTTTTTCCCCGCCATGATTGCGAACGTGAGCCTTGAAATTCGGAGTGGAATGGAAAGTTTTTGAACAAAACTCGCACTTGAGCTCCTTCAAACTCGGCAAACGTTCTCCATGTTCGATGAATACATGAGCAGCGAAGAATTCCCGATCTTGCATCTCAATGCCACAGTGTTCACATTTTCTTTTCTTTGGCTTTTGGTACTCACCGATCCCGTGTGATCTTGCTTCATGATTTCTAAGGGCAACCTGAAAAAAAAGAACTACAGTAGTAACTACTATATATTTCGTGGGCAACTCAACCGATTTCGTTCATACCTTTCGTTTCGTTTGAAAATCACAACTTGAACAATGCAGCATGGTTCTACTGGAATGTGTTTTCATGTGCGAGTTCAGCGACGAAATTTTAACATTCTTCCCGCAAAATTCACAGATAGCCATTTTCGCCGGAAGATCAGCACATCCCGAATCTATGTGAAATTTCAGACCCTGGCCGGTATAAAATCCTTTTCCACATAATGAACAGAGGAACGGGAACTGGTGCAGGTGGGACTTGTACATGTGTGTTCGTCGACATGACGGATCTTTGAAATGTTCATCGCACATATCACATTTATATTTATGCGCCGGGCCACTTCCATGCTTTCTTTTAATATGTGATTGCAAATTATCAGACCGATGAGTTCGATAGGAACACTCATCACAGTATATCCATGACGACTCGCAAGGACGACAACCTAGACAAAGATTGCAAGAATCAGATGATTTTTCTACATTATCAAATGTTTTTCTCACGTTTGCGAACAACTAGATTTTGGAATGGAGCCGACTCGACACCATGCGACTTGGTAGAGGATAACGTGATTTTTGTGCTTTCGGGTGTATCTGGTTCATCAGAAGTCTCCTAAAAATATTCAGACTCAGCTTTTCAAATGGACATACAGTATTTGAATTCTTCGTCGCAAACTAACCTCGGGATCGGGAAAATCGCAAACCACAAGCGGCTGAGCTGCTTCGGGAAAGATAACGTCTGAGACGGGCGAATCACCGTTCGGAGAGAAACGAACAGAAAACTTGGACGAGTCTGAAATGGTTGATGATCCATGGAATTTCTGAAAACACGGCAGCACATATTTGGGTCATCGCCCACATGAAAGCTCTGTTTTCTTCCAGACTCACTTCAATAAATTTTGATTCGGATTTTACAGCCGGGGAAATGTTCTGCTCCATAAGGGGTGGTTTTCGGATTGCCACGGGCATCGGAGCGTCGAGTAACATGACGGACGATAGCCCAGATTCGGTGAGAAATTCAGGATATCGACGTCGAGATCTCAGGAGGATTAATCTTGAATGCAATTCAAGGTACAGCATCGTACATGAATCCAAAACGTCGAAACAACCGTCACAAATAACAAGGTTCTCGCTGGTCAACTTCCGACATTCGACTGCTACATATTCTGAGAGCAGCGAGACATAAGTTTCATTGCTCTTCAAACTTTTCAACGGTTGCTCTCTTGACTTGATCGCTACATGATCAGAACAAATTTCGCAGGTGGCTTCCCCAAGCGCGGTATCACTCATAGTCTACAACGCTACGAAACGCGAATGGAAACTTCCCCGAAAATCGGTCAACACCTGAAGGCCAAGAGCTGAACTGTAATCAAAAACAATCGAGAACTTTTTCTCCGGGCCTGGCAGGGCACGATTTGATTAGAATATACTTCGCTGAACTGAGAATGACTTCCGCGATTAAGTCACACACTGATCATGTTCCCTTGAGAAAATATTTATGTCACTGACGAACGAGAAAGATGACATTCCTATCCTGAACTAAAAAATGAACTTTTACACCCCACACTTTTCGAAAGCCGCACAGAAAATAATTCCACACTCGACCAAGAAAACCTTTAGACGTGCTGGGCGGGACAGCCGAACACTATTAAAAGTGAGTTCAAGTACGTTTAGTAAATCACTATATTCATGTATGTGTGAATAAACGAAATTTACTGGAGAATAACGTGAAAAAAAGATTGAAAGTTTGAAAAAATTTTAAAATCCAATTTTTGGAGAGAATTTTTAGCTTGAACACTGCAATTCACCTCATTTACAGTACTAACAAATTATGCCCGCGCAGAAGTTTGGAAACCAAGACTTGAAACCACTCAATGCTAACAATTTACTGAACATGCCTGATAACTGCCACCAGTTCGCCGTCTATCTCTGCGCGATGTGAGTGAATTACGGACGTTGTTCGATGTAACCTTGTGCTGTATAGCTCGATTATTGTTCAACAATTGTTCACTGTGACATATCGGAAATTCGCTGCAATGGAAATTTTGAAAGCGATTCGGAATAGGTCAAAGAGTGGATCTGTGAGTCAGCCGCCAGAACGTGAGTCCTGATGGGCTGAAAGTCGAAAGAACTGGAGATCTTCACGAATCTTGTCATTAGGACTTCTGGAAAGCTGGGAAGAGGATGATGAAGCCATACGTGAAGGAGTACCATTTTTTGTGAAATACCTCGGCAGCGTTCTAGTGAATTGTCCTTTCGGCGATGAAGTTTCATCTGATGCTGTGAAGAACGTTGTTTGCATGGTGAGTTCTGAGTTAGTTGGTACAACGCAGTAGTTGCGGATAACTTTTGAACGCTTCTTAATTTTTAGGCAAAGGCAAGCGGCAAACAAAAACTTGAACGGGTTGAAGTCACAGTAAGTCTTAAGGGCATATCGGTGAAGAGTCTCACAGTTCCCGAGCACAAATTTGATACCTCAATTTACAGGTAATTTCCTGATGCGTGTCTGTGTACACATTTTTATGAACTTGCAAATATTTGCCGCAGAATTTCTCACTGTTCTGCGGATGGCCATTTCAATCATGTTTTCTCGTATCTCGCCACAAACAAGAACGAAACGATCGAATGTCATGCCTTCTTATGTCCAAAAAGAAAACTGGTTTGTGTTGATCCGATATGTTTTTGAGTTGTTTCGAAGTTTATTGTTCTCTTGATTCAAGCTGGTTTTTATCAGGCCGAAGCTATTGCGTTAACAGTCGCGAAAGCTTTCAATCTTGCGTTTGAAATTTGGGAGGCCTCTCGTTCTTCAAACCACTCGAAGTCTAAAGTGGAAGACCATGAAGAAAAATCTACTGAAGGAATTTCGGAAAAGCAGGATTCTTTAGAGGGAATATTAGATTTTGGACTTGGTTCCAGAGGAGAAGCGGTAACGAAACTTCAGGCAACCGCAAGCAAGTGCGATCTGATCAGCTGGTCGAGTGTTGCTGGTGAGTAGTCGATATGCACTTATACTCAAGAAGGATATTTTTTATGCCCAATTTATGATCCATTTGGGCCTCAAGTTTTTTATTTTAATTTCTATTTGAAATGTGCTCTTGATATCAGGGTTCGGTCGGTAGTTCAATAATTATGTTACGATGTCAATCCGGATTTTTCTCAATAGCATTCGACGACGACGTCACGACGCTGCATAAGAATTTCAGTCGCATCGCGGACACTCCGAGGCATCCTCTACGTGAGGCCAAAGACATCACGAGAAAAGTATCTGCCGTCAATTTGAAGAGACTTGCAGCAGCTGAGCCTCTTGCAGGCCGAGCTGAAAGCCCAACGTTGCAGGATGATGACGTTTTCTACAACAGAGAGCGCCATGATAGTGGTAGCGGAATTTTTTTCTCGACGTTTTCTTGAAATCTGCGGCTCTATGAATAATACGGGATATGCAGTACATTAATTGTCTTTCGTTGCAATGTCGTTTGGAGACACACTGTTTCTACATCGTTGAAGTTGCGCTCTTTGTAGTTCAGTGTTCGGTTCCTTTTCCTGTCATTGCCGCATTCCTCAAGTCGGTAATCTCACTTTCTGTTGCATCAAGTGTTGCTTAATCTTTTCCCATTCGTTAGATTTAAGTTAGGACACGGAAATTTGGATAACTTCTAAGTAGTTATGTTCGATAAAGTTTCAGTTGGAAGCGGCGCCTGCTTGGTGTTCGAAAATTTCAGAAGCTACTGTATAGTAAAATGGATAACTACCCCTAATTTTTGTCGGAAAACTTCCTGGGAGAATTTCTCGTCAGGTCCCGAAATCAACTAGGCCTTTCATTACGTTGCTAGTTCCTGTTAACCCAGGTTATTGATTCAGGGCTATTGAAAATGTAACTATAGTTCATTCGTTGAACTGTGAAGGCTCCAATTTGAAGGTTTTCTGCGTTAATTTGTAAAAAAAAAAAAAAAAAAAAGAAAAAAGAAATCAAAACTGTGAATTAGGAATGAACGGTGTTGAACGAGCTTTTTGCGTATTCCTTGAGAGCAGCATTTCTCGGAGCAATTCAAGACAGTACATGCTACTCTCGATGAGAAACTGCTTATTTTTTTAAGAATAACTTTCGGGAATCTAAATTTTGATTGCGGTGCTTTTTCAATGCTAGCTGGATGCTATACGAGCTTGTAGAAATGAAGTTTATTGGTGGAATCTGTTCAAAAGCTTTGTGTTCGCTCATCGTTAATTTTTGAAAGAAAGTTCCAAATCTACTTTTTCGTACTTTGCAGATACAAGGGAAGTTTTCATGTATGAAAGAATAGCGTTGATTAAGTTGGGAGTGTGTCCGTTTCGCAATGGTAGCCAATCTTACTATCAACAGTCCGACTTCGGTGAAACGAAGATCATCATTCAATCACCAACGACATCATCACAATAATCAAGCCGGACTGAAGTTTGCTTCGAGTCCTGGAGCGTCCAACACCAGGGGTATGCGTCCCCTTCCAGAACCTGTACCGATGAAAGACCTCATCCAAATGCTTGTTGTCGTGGCTTGCAAGAAAGTTATATTTTTGGATGTGCGCATTAGAATTTGCATATACCTTGCGTTCACGTTCCTCCTGTCTATTTTCGCCGACGCCGCACCGTTCCCGAAGACTTACTTCTCAGACTCCAAAAATGGGCTGAATTACTTATTTACCTCGTTTGGATGGGGATGGACTCTGTTGACGACTGGAGCTTTGGTTTGGGTGGTTGAAATTGTGAGACATTGCGGTGACACGAGGAAAGTGGTTACTTTCCACTTGACGAGACTTGTTGTCGCTACCTTGATGTGGTGGGCTTGGACGACTGCGTTCGTTGTCCTAGAGAAATCGACGGGATCGTGTTTGGTTGGAGGTGCTGCACAAGTAGGCTTCGGGAAACGAAGCTGTCGCGACTCCGGAGGACGATGGCGTTCGTTCGACGTGTCAGGACACACATTCTTGCTCATCTTTTGCAATCTAGTCTTGATGGAAGAAGCGAAAATTATTTCAGGCTGGGAAAGCATCAAGGATGCCATCCGGTGCGTTTTGACCCAGTTCATCGTTTTTGCGTATTCTAACACAAAAATTACTGTATTCATGTGCTGTTAACCGAAACGATTATCAAGTGCTGTACTGAACTGTGAAAAATTGCTGATATTTGCAACTTGTCAATACGAGCAAGATTTATCCTTACTTCTAATTGATGAAGCCATGTGGTCCATTCTAGATTACAAAATTTTTTTGAAAGACGATCAGTTTGTGGAAATTCAATCGCATTTATGGGTGATGAAAAATAATCGGACTCAAGAAGTGCAAAAGCTCCAGCAGGATGAATTGCTTGAAGCTGGAATGTGCTTACATCGATCATACCTATTTTTAAAGATTTATGTTAAAACAGGATTAATCCTGATGAACTATAATTTACTACGAAAGTTAAGTATTTGTGCATACAGGAGGAATCAAGAAGCTGATTGAACTTGAAATGTTTAATTCCAAAATTGAAATGCTTTTTTAAAATCAGTACCATTAAATTTTTTATAAGTTACGTGACAGTGTACCTTAAACATTACAAAATAGAGATTACAACAATCGCGTTAGAGTGTAACTTTTGGTTGGCGTTAATGTCGTTGAACTCTGTATTTTTCTAGTTTGAAAAAGTCGATGGTTGTACTGTACAGTCCCCAATTACGATGAATGTGCAGTAAAGTCTCCAATCTTTTTATAAACCCCCCTTTAATTGTTCTTGTTAAGTCAAATTCATGTACATCGCATTACAGTACTGTACTTCATTTTTCTGTTCGTTTATGGTTTTTTGCTAATTTTGATTTTCAGAAAAGAAGATTATTTTCGGCTAAATCAGTCAGTGGCAGTCATCACAGGAAAACCTGAGAACCAGTCAGATGACGAAACCTACTTGAAGGATCTGACACCGATGCAATTCGAAACTTTAAAACATTATTACTTCAAGTTCGCAGTTGCTGCGCGTGCGGCCTTCTTTGTCATGACTCTGCTGTCACTCACACACGATGTGCTCTTGTTAGCCACGCTCATTTACTTTCACGTCATGACGGAGAAGCTTTTGGCTGCCGCCATTGCGATTTGCATGTGGTTCGTCTTGTATAGGATTTGGTTTGTGATTGCTCCCTTTCCGCTTCAGCCCGGAGCAGGCGGATGTTTCAAGTTTGATGTCAAGCACAAGGGAAAAACCGTCCCCCGGAAGCGAGACGAGGGTCGCACGGGCAGGCGGGCATCGTTGATCACGCCGGACGATGACGGGGAATTGAGACGTTGATCCACAAGCGTAACGATCATTTGTATGGTGTGTTTGATGAGCGATATGTTCATTCGTCTTGGTGGGCATTCATTGACATTGAAATAGTTATTTTTCACCTCAGGAAAGTCGGATATTAGCGTGTGTTCAGTTTGATCAAGCCAAACCAAGTAATCATGTTTTTTGGCTCATTATTCTCAGCAGCATGAGCACAAAATCTAATGCAAAGCCAAATTTACAGTATCATCCATTATTTTTTTAGCCTACCCGTTGTTTTTTTTTTTTATGGTCTACGAGACATGACTTAGTTACCGAAGTAATGATCAGTGCTTAATTGTGCCCTGGGGAATGGGTGTTCTTCCAAATTGAGGTCTTATTGCCGAAAAAAGGTGACAGCGACAGAAGTATTCCCCGCTTCAGCTCAGTCGCTTTAATAATGTACAGTTTTTAAATCAAATACACAAGTACATTTTTTTTTATTATAGATTTATTTGTTTTCGGAAGTATGAGAACAAGAAATAATGACAAAACAATTTATCTTCCTTTTTTTTAAACCTATCTCTTGTTTTTGTTGAAAATCTACCACCATTGTTGAAGTATTCTGACCGAATATACCGTCAGGAGTTCTGCGAGATTCCTGAGTAATGATCAGTGCGTACTTCGTGTAACTTTTCCGGGGTGTACGGTGTACTTATTGCCGAAAAAGGTTGCCGGCGGGAAAAATATTCCCCCTCTTCAGCTTAGTACATGTTTTCAATTGCGAGCAGTCGAAATAATGGTCTTAGAGAACATGAGTTCTCTGATTCATGAAAGCATTCATTTGATAATCTCGGAGTGTACATTAAAAATGGGTTTCTGTGGACATACATTAAAAAACCCGTGATAGCTACGGCTTATGAGCTCTATTTTGAGCAGTGGCCAGTGGTTGATGGAGGTTGTGTGATATGCTCGTCAGATTTTTCGCTGAATGAAGATCTGAAATGATATTGCCAGATACAGTTGACAGGGGCTCATCCTCACGCTCTAAAAATCCAATTGGAGAATTTCTGAAAATGTGCCACAATTACTGTATTAAAAAATGCATGTTGAACAGCGTACTTGAATTTTAAGTTGTTCCTGTGGTTAGTGTGGTTGAGTAAGGAGGTTGTTCGGGCGGTGAGAGCCTATTTCATTAGCACTTTTTCCCGTCCAACGGTCCATCAAACCCCTTATTCGTTTAATGTGAAACCTGTGAAAGAAATGTGATCGCCGCGATGGTGGTGCGTGTGAAAATCGACCATGCTTCCAAATTTTGCTGAGAAAAAGTTTTTCAGTCAATAGGAAAACATCCTCGTTCATTTGATTTTCGGAATTATGATTCCGGTGGGTGCGGATTTTTCGTACACTGTAGACGTTTCGCGAAGTGAAAAAGGCAACCATCGATTTCCCTCCGTTTCTTAATGTTTGAAACTTCTTAACTTCGTCTGGGTGTTTTTGTCGCGTCGTCCCTCTTTTTTGTTATGAATGAAAAATTTACGGGAGTTGCACAAGTGTGTTCTCCTTCTCCATACATCGGCTGAGTTATTTTTTTTATGTCGATGTGTTATTCGTTCATTCTGCTTCCCAAATGTTTAGGACTGTGATAGCTACGACATGTAGCTCTTATCTCATGATATTCATGATATTGGGTGAATTTTTTTCGGTGAATCTTCCTATTTTGTAAATTATTCACCGATCTTCAAGAATCGATGTTTGCACGAAGTAGGTTCCTTCTTCTCACGAGAAGATGGCTGCCGACTTTAAAACTTCCTGTCACTTCTGAAATAACGTGCCATGGACCTCCTGCGTTGAAAACGCACGATGGTGATCAATTCACTAACCATGCCCACGGAAAAGATTTTCTTTGGAGTACCGCGATCGTTGCATTTTTCGGCTTTTTTGAAAAGCATGACAAGGATGAAAGCGAGCTTGTCAAGCAGATTAAACTTGGAGTTTTAGCTATGCAGGTGAGGATAGTTATTGTACAATCGTCATTGAAAAATCATTCGCGCTTCTGCCATAACTTTCCATTTGAAGCTTATTCCTTGTGTTATACAGTATTGCACAATACTGGTGTTGGTCTCCAAGTAATTTTAGCTTTACTCACCTTGGTTGCAATTTTCACTATTGAAATTATACTTATTTTTGTGTGTCTGAAACTGTTAAAAAGGAGTGTTCCGGGGAATAGCTAGGATTTTGGAATGAATTGGTAATTCTGTTTTACTGTCAGCCACGAATTCATGTTATTTCCTTGGACACCTGTGTGAAAGATGCATTCAACTGCTTAGTCCTCCGTGGTGTAGCTATGAGAGCATGAATAGCTAAATAACGCGACCATGCACAAGAAAAATTAAAAAACCGTAAGTGACAAATTTCTAAAATGTAAGCTACATGCATGCAACATTTTGCTGTGATCGCACATGACATGGCGATCTACTGATCAGGTTATGGCAACGGAGCGAATGATTCTTCGCTCATTTTTGTTAATCACTGAAAAACCTGTTCCCAGCGAGACGAGTTGGACAAAGCGGAACGATTATTCCACGTAGCTTTAAAAACGGCCCAAGATTTGCAGGAAGACGACGGGATTACATATGTGTACGATATGCTAGCCAATGTAGCATTTCAAAAGGGAGATTATAAGAAGTCCGAAAAGCTGTTCACGGAAGTCCTCAATAGGGCATTGCACAAAAAAAAGCTTCCAGAAGACCACAATGCCGTAATTGATATTAGTTTGAAATTGGCGATGTGCTTCCAGGTTCGTGAGCTTCCACAGAAATTTTTCTCTTAGTGGCATTGTTACGTTTTTCATTAGCATCAAAATGACAGGAAGAAAGCCGAAATTGGGTACATGTATTGTTTGGAGAAACAAGAGAAAAAGCTGGAGAAACGGGGCATGGATGTATCCAATGATACGAAGTTGCTATGGGCAAAGGCTTCCAATTGGTACGCCCATTTCCTGATGGAGGAAGAAAGGTGAATTTTCTTTGCTCGAATGCAGTACAACTTGAAGATTTTACGTCGTTTATTTAAATATTCAACGTAAGAAGTCATGGCAAATTTGTGCGGGGAATTCAATTATAAAAAAGCTTCTAAATAGCCTTGTGAACAATTTCATTTTTCAAGTAACGTCTGCCATATTTTATCCTACGTTGAAAAGCTGCTGCACGTATTCTTCGGAAAATCACGGGATTTCGTGATTCGACGATGCAGTCGTACACCTTTTTATAGCAAAATTTAGTGTTCTAAAAATTTTTGACGCAACTTGCGCACCATTGAAAATAATTTCGAGCTGTCATTCAGAATCACACCACGAAGAAGACTGAGTTTTTTGGGCTTTGTATTAATGTTCTTCAGTCTTCACGCAGCGAGCTACTGTATTCTATTTTTATGGCTATTATGTAATGTACAGTAGTCTTAATCTGATCAGACCTATCCTCTGTGGATTTTGCATGTCACATTGAATCTGATAATAATTTTTTTTGACAACGCGTGAATATTTATAGATATTGTATGATTAAAAGTTCACATACCTGCGTACATCGCAAAAAAATTATTTACTGCTGGAATATTCACGTTGTAGAGCTTGTGTTCGATTGTGCGTATGAACTTATGCGTCCGACTCGGCACACTATTTTCACTTCAAAAGCTTAGTCACAGCTTTGAAGGTCAGATATGTGATTTGCTGTATGTATTATGACTTCGAATTTTGTCGAATAATACCGTGTATCAACCTCGGGGGTTGATAGGAATTATAGGGAGACCTAAATTAGTCGTTTTTTCCACGATTTTGAAATGTTTCGGTTTAGGATTTCAAATTCCATGAAATTGATTACATCTGATCATTTTTGACCAAGTTTATTTTTTCTTGTTTCATACTATGGCTCAGGTTTGCAGAAGCTGAAACACGATTCCGAGCGGCTTTGTATGTGAGCGAGGAAGTTAACGGGAATGACGATCCTCAAACTCTCGTCGTTATGAACGATCTTTCGGCCGCCCTTCATCTGCTCGAAAAAGACGAAGAAGCAATCGAATTGCTTCGTCAGGCGATTGCTATGGGGAAGAAATTATCTGTGCCTGAGTTGGCGACATATTACGTGAATCTTGGAGCGATTCAACTGCACCAGAACTTGTATCATTTAGCAGAACAGGCGTGCCGCAGTGGATACAACGTTGCCCAGAAGTTTCAAAATTCTGAAGCGGAAAAAGAAGCGTTGACTTGCCTCGAAAATGTTCGGTTGCTGAAAGAGTCTGAAGGACAAGATCGGAAACGCGCTTGAATGGCAGGCACAAATTAAAGATGTTGTGACCTGGCGGATTAACAATTTTCATTAGCGAAAGTATACCTGAAATGTACTCGGAAAATATATCTTTTTGACTGATCATGCAGGCCTAGATGTGATTTTTTGGATTCGAAATGAATCGGACTCGTTTTTTGTTCCGGATATGTTCTTTTGTTGAATTTGAACTCTCGTGATGCATTCTCTATTTTCAGTCATGCATGAATGTGACCGCTAAATAAACCTCTGATGGTTTGGGCAGGTTAGTGCGGTCGATTTCTGACGCATTTACGGGACAAGAATGTGAATTGGCCTTTGGTTATTAAATCTGAGCTAATTTCTTCCTCTCTTTGATAGATTTTGACTTATCGCAGGAATCCTCTGCAGGGCATGCATAAAGTACTGTTGCATTCAAATTACTGAAATTTTAGGGAGGATTTGACTTTTTGTGTGAACACTTTTTTATCATGATGTATGCATCTTGACAGATTTTTTCCAGGAAAACGTCGATGTTACGAATTCCGTAAATGTTATTGCATGGAAAAACCTGGTGGGGCAGCATGCAGTTCACAAAAGGAGGTTTTCTCCACAAAAAAAGACAAATCCAGAATCATCATTGAAATAAAACAGTGTGAAGTAGGGATTAAACTATATTACTCACAGTACTTGCATCTCGGAAAATAATTTTACTTCAGCAAATAATGTTTCTCTCCTCCCAGTTCATTGAAATTGTTGATTTGGAGAAATGTTCGTACTCAGCGACACTTTTTATCATAGTAGGCAGCTCTTCAATGAAACTGTGCTTTACTAAATGAAATACTGTACAGTAGCTTCAAAAGTATAAGCATTTTACTGTTGTATTTTGTGTAACTATGAAAATTTTCCATTCTTTACTCGCATTAATCAAAGGTATATTTCCGCTTAACGTATGTTTTGCATAGTACTGTACCTAGTTAGAATATGCTCGTCTATCACACTAAAGTCAACCCTAATAAAAAGCTATTGTAATTCTACCTCCTCTACACTGTCTGCAGTATGGTGGTGTAGTTTCTCGCCGGAGCAGAACTCTTGGTCGGCCAAACTCTAGGCCACTGCACCCCCCATCCCCTCACTCCCTATTCTCATCACTCTCTCCTTCACGCACACTAGTGACAGACTTGAGGATTTGAGTTTATGGTGCGCTGGGTGGTGTCACAGGACTATTGTGACTGTCAAAAATTCTACCATTGTTTGAATTGGCTTCTTGTCAAAATCTCATTCCAATGAAAACAGGCCAATATACTGTCTTTTAAAACTGCTGGCCTGTATTTGTTAAAAAGTAGTCTCCTGATGCAGAAAGTGTCCTGTTCTTGTAGAAAGCAAACTCTTTTAGAGTATGATCTCTTGTACATGAAGGGGACTCTTGTCAAACTGTTAGAATCTATCTAAAATAAGAACTCACCACCCTGGAAAGCTTGAAAAATTCTTTGTAAAAACCCTGAATGTATACCTTTTTCATACACTGAATATGACACACTAAATATGAATGTATATTTCATGCATTGATATAAATATACAGTACTGCAACAATAGTTTTTGCAGTAGAATTTGATCCTTTTGTCAAAAACTCCTGTCTTCAAGAACTGGTCAATTATTGTATTTTTGTTGAAGCCTTGCCCTGATCAAAATTAGATTTTTATATCTGAATAATACAGGCAGTGTCCAAGAAATTATCTTGTCTTGATAAAAAATTGTCATCAAGACCTATACAATACTTTTATTGCTGAACAATCTTGGTCATTCTAAACCCATGAAACCAAAGTGTTGGAACCTTTTGAAGCTAATTCCTTGTTTGAAGTATTACAATGCCCAAGTTCAATGAAACTGATGTCAAGCAGGCCTCAGAAGAGGCACTTGTCAAACCCACAATTGAATGCAACTTGTCAAATGCACTTATTGTCAAACCAAATTTAAGAAAATATGCCTGACATCTAAAAGACCCATGGAACATCCCATAATTTCATTTCCCAAATACATGGAGAAATAATTTTTTCTCACTTGGAGTCCATGCTACACCACTTCCTGCACAAGGGATTTATTCCCAAGTCTTGAAGTCACTCATGCGCGACCACAGGAGAGAGAGTGTTGGCTGCAGAGCGTGAGGGGATGCGGGGCGCAGTGGCAAAGAGTTTAGACGACCAAGAGTTCTGCTCCGGCGAGATGGGGCCTCACCGAAGTATTACGCCTTCGCATGGCAAGACCGAAGCTTCGTTCTACGCACGTTTTTCTTCCAATGAGGTGATGGGGAGGGGGGAAACATTTGACGGTAAGGAAATTCATCCGCTTCACATGCCTCATCTTATTTCCAAAATTGTGAATTGTGAATTGGTTGATTCACTTCATGTGCACCGGGGTGCGAAATTCGTGTACAGAACATGCCACACTGTGAGATTCCCTGTTACGGGAATCATTACATGAAGGTTCAATGACCTTCCTGTAATGATTCGGAGCTCCTATCATCGCGGGCATCGTGTGATGGGAAATGGCATAGTACTGTAGTAACTTAGGTATTGTTTACTCGTCAGTGAAGCTCATGAACTACATTTACGAAGGGTAACATGAATAACGAACGGGGTGAAATGCCCGAGAATCCCACTAATTACTGCGCTCATGAGCATGATGAACCAACATGGAGTGCAATTTCGCCCACGCCACCAGCCGGTGGACCCCTTTCTTCCTGCTTAGAACTTCCCATTGGAGTGCACAGCAATGGATTCAGTGAATGGTACCGCAATTAGATTTTAAGAAAATTGTATCTAATGGTTGGTGTCTTCAAATTTATGTGCGATGCTTATTGGTCGATGAATGAATAATTTTTTTGAGCCTGAAGATGCCTACATGAGGGCGTTGATGACTTGAAGATACAGTATTAAAAAATTGAGTGATCGAGTGTTGAGCTCTGTGCTTTCTCCCTCCCAACTGCGAATTCCTTGTAGCACTCTTGAGCGTTTCGGACTGCAACGTTTTCCTAGCCGATGATCGCTTACACCGTTAGATTACATTTGACAAATACGAAGAAAAGGCGAATGTGTGTGTGTCCATGGAATCCTTAAAAATATTCAACGCTTAGCTGCGAGTGAGCAACTTATTCTACTGTGAACCATGTTACCGTTACTTATCTGAAAGGGCCGTCGATGTGAAAAAACGTATCCTTATCAGATTTCTAGCATATGCCGCCGATTTTTAGCTCATTCCATGTGTCGACGTTATTTGGGTTTGGAGCAAAATGTGATGTCGTTTTTTGACAAGGCTGACGGCCATTGAACATGGGTAAGATCAACGAACCCCTCTTTCCCGACATTTTTCGAGGGGTCGTTGTCAATCAGGGGTTAATGTCTTTTGCCACGTGGCATATGAGCTGAGTCATGTTCGATCAATAGAACGAAGGGTTGCGCTGACCGGTTATCACGTGTTGGTGCCGCGGGGTATTTTATTGTATTCTTGGTGTCCGAAGTTAGTAGGTCCTAACGCATTCTGCGCTCTTGTTCACACCGGCGGTTGGATTGAAATTTCCTCGCCATTATGGCGAGTGGTGTAATGGATTACGGGGATATGGAACTAGATAGTATGCTAAATGAAATAGCATGCGTGGAAGGAGGTGCTTTGGAATACACCGATGATTGGGGATCATCGCCGACTTCGAGCTCACCCCAGGATTTCAACTTGGATGATTTCAATACGGAGGTAACGCATCGACATGCCGATAATATTCTGTAGAAAGTTTTCCTCAAGCAAAGTTGATGTCCTAAGAAAATTTCTGGCGTGGAAGTGGCGCGTTTCGAGCTTGCAACGATAATTGAGAAACATTTGTCAGAATACAGTACTTTTGTAATGCAGTGTTGTCAGCAAATTTGGGCTCGTTCAAATTTTAGCTGCCTCGTTAACGTTATGACGTTAAGTTTTTAACGTATGGACAGGCTCCTGGAATTGACCTGATTATGTAGATTAGTGAACATTTAAAAATAGTCTGTTAATGTTTACTTGATTTAGGTGTTGACGGAACGATAAGGGAATACAAATATTGTACTTAATTTGATATGCTGTAACATGACGTGCTCACGTGTCAAGTGAAATGTAGCGTATCAACTGACGGATGTGTCTTTACATCAATATCAGCTCAGAATAAAATATCTGTATTTCCGAGACTAATTAAATGCGAGAAAAAATGTGTTGGATACCCTGAAATGAGGAATTTTTTTGTTGATAGATGAACTTCGGCGAAGGCATTGATCTGGAGAAACTTTGCCAAGAAGTCCTGAACTCTGACGACGTATCCGCGTCACCTATAAAATTGGAAACCAATTTCTCCAATAGCCCTACTAGTTCAAGTTTCTCCGACTCTGATTCTATCGAAGCACCGGCTCAGCCATCAGTTGTCACTGTCCCGGTGTACGCATCTTCTGCAACTGTGGGAGAACAAATCATTCTGCCGAACGGTGTTCGAACCCGTGTCTTGAAAGTCTCTCGAAATTCTCCTCTACCTTTGATCGTGGGAAGATCAGGAGTCTTGAAATCACCAACAAAGATACGCATTGTCAGGGGAGCAAGTTTATCCGCTGCCGTACAGTCGAATATGAGGCTAACGGCAGAGCAGCTAAAACAATTCACAGTTGTACGAGCGTCGCGGTCTCCTTCATTTTCCGAATCCGTGGACGAAGTATCTATTTGCTCACCTGCATCTTCTGGAAACGCGTACGACGATATCAATGAAGGCGATTTTAAACCACTTATTCTAACTGGTGAGTGTGCGTTTTCTGGAAAATCACCTTATGAGATATAATGCTGTAGTGATGTCTGATCCAGATAAGATACTGTACGTAATACGTTTTTTCTGGTGGCCTAGTCCGTCGCCTACTGCACCCATCTACCTGAAAACGTTCATTTCCGTTGTTTCCCTGTTGCTTTGAATTTTCAATCTTAAAATCAATTTTTCAACTCAATTTCGCCTTTGACAAAACCGGATTTCTTGTTATAGGTTCATGTTATGGTATTTATGGAGACGTTGACGTACTTGATGTTTCTCGTTTGCTTTATCTGTTTAGTAATTTACGTAGCCATTTTGATTAGTACGAGAGTTATTTCATACTCTAAGTTGGAGAAATAAATTTCCTGTATTAGGGTTTTTTATGCTACTTTCAAAAATTTTCAAGATGAAGAACGGAAAATCATGATTCAAGAGAAGATCACACTTCCTTCACACTACCCATTGACCAGGGAGGAGGAGCGAAATTTGCGCAAGATCCGTCGCAAAATCCGGAACAAGAGGTCTGCCGAAAATTCTAGGAAGAAGAAACAGATTTACGTTCAAGACTTGGAAAAGAGGTGTTTACGCTTGAATCTTTCAATCTATATGCATGGGTGTATAATTTCGTCTTGTTTTTCTTTAGGGTGAAGCTATGTATGATGGAGAAGGCGAATTTGCAGAAACGTGTTTCCAAGTTGGAAAGCGAGAACGCGTCATTGTTGTCCCAACTGAAGAGCGTGCACACCACTATGGCAGGATTGGCGGGCAAGGCCGCCCCGACTTCTACTGCATTCCTTGTCCTCATGGTCTCCATGGCTATGTTGATGGCTCCCAACATGAACATTTCATCCAAATTTGATGCCGACAATGCGCTCGAGACGCAGGAAGTCTCTCAGGACACTAACGTCAACTCGGCTGTTCCGGCTTGTGAGTGTACTTTTATTACGTATCGCCGCGTAATTGTAGGGCTCACCGAAGCATTTTTCTTCTCTTGCCAGGGAATAAATCTGTTTTATTGTTCGAATATGATACTGGGGATGGTACAGTCTTATTAGCCTCATAGGGGAATGCTACAGAAATCTGGAGTTCGCGATCCACAATTGATAATTCTGAAATGCTTTCCCCCGTCTTATCATTTTGCTACCGTGGAAAAACAAGCGTTGATTAGGTTCTGTATATATCGTTCACTTCAATTTCCTGGGTACAAGCGAGCAGGAGCACTCTGAACCAAGGGTAAAAAAGTTGAAATAAATCCAGCGAAAGGAAAGACATTTGTCACAGCTCATTTTCTCCGTGTATGATGAAGAATATTGATTACCTTTTATTTTAAAAATCAAGTGAATTACAAAGAAAAAGTCACATCTTGTATGTGTTGAACCCTATTCATATTGATCTATGCTCTACATATCTGCTATTTCAGCGCCACACAAGAGAATGTTATTATCAGATAACCGAAACCTGGAGGAAACTAACAGCTTGGAAAGGGTCTGGAGAGACCTTGCCGCTTTCAAAAAAAGCTTTTCCTTCCTACCGGAGGAGACGAACGAGGATATCAGCGCTACGAAACGTAGCAGAATTGATCTTGACCCTGGGGAAGGATTAAAGCGTCAGGACTTCCTAAAAATGATGGTAAGCTGCGAAGGAGAAAATACCGGAAGCACGGGTTGATATACGCTTTGCCTGACCCACTAAAATTGACGAGAAGTTTTGAATGTGTACGGTGATGTCGAAATTCGGGTCAAAAAGAAAACCTGATGTCACTAGAAGTGAACGATCGGGAGGTTTTCGACGCTCAACTAAATACTGTAGTAAGGATTTATGCAACCAAGTAAGTCATGAATTCATTCGAAAGTCTGCGGACATCAAGAATTTTCTTGAAAATCTGTCGAACTCAAGTTTTTGTCCCGAGTGTGCCTAGATTTACCTCATAATTTTTAGGCAAGAGACTCGGTCCTAAAAAAAACGAATTCAAGAAGGAAGGAATTGTAATGTACTTCGTTTTTTTTAAGTCGCATCAATCTCTACACAACTTTCAGGGCGAGTTAATGGACACGGACGTGGCAAACCAAATAAAAGTAGCCGAAGAAGTGAAGAAAGTTGCAAGTTCCACTACTGTATATCTGCAAACGAATGGAACTCGTGCTATCTGAGGCTGCGATCAGCGTCCTGCTTTGCCGCACAAGGATTTCAACTTCAGAGACTGCGGAGATCTCCGCAAACAAGGAATAAAAATAATCTAGATGGCACATGCTGCGTGTTGAAACATTCGTTAGCCGAGTGAACGGACCCACGATTGGCGAGAGGCTGAGAGAGGAAAAGAGTGACTGATGCTGTGCAGTTGATATTTACATGAAATCGCCGTTCGGTGGTGGACAACAATGCATTCATATAAGATGCATCCCTTGGGAGAGAAGAGGAATGCATGTGTTGTTGGAGAGATGGAAGGTTGTGTGAAGTCCTGAAGGAATCGTCGCGTTTGTTGAGTTACTGCCTGATTCATTTTCATTCTTTATGGGTGGTGCTATTACCTTTTGATGTATTGCATGATGCGGTGTGAAAAGTTCTTCTTGTCAAGTTTTAATTTCCTCTTTCAACCATTGAAGCGGTGAATTATTTAAGGACAGGTGTAATTTTGAGTCTTCGGTTTTCTGACGAAAAAGGACGAATAAAAAGTTGTTCATTTCAAAAGATCGCGTTTGATAATGTCACAGAAACTCGATCACAGAATTCTTCTAGCACTGTTTTTCCTTCCTGATAAATTCTTATATAATGTCTCCTCAAGGCAATAATTAAATGGGCCTTAAGTTATGTCAACTGAAAGAGTCAAACATATGGAAGAATAGGTGTCTTCTTTTATTACTTGAGATGTAACCCTCAGGGCAATTTTCCCATGATCATCAAGAAAGCAGTTGCTGCAAGACTCCAGACTTGAACATGGCCTCCGTTTCAGAACCACCTCCAATGCACTTTCCTTGCACAAAAACGCGTGGCACCGTTCTAGCTCCCGTCAGGCCCGCCAACACGGACTGAATCTCCGCACCGTCTTTCTCCTGCGTCAAATCCACCCATATGTACGGCTGGCGCATGTCCTCAAACACGGACCTGGCCCTGCGGCAAAATCCGCAAGTCGGTTTGGCAAAAATCACTACCTTCTCCTGCGTGATCAAGCACTGGACTTTATCAGCAGGAGACAGAGATTGGCACACGCGCGGTATCGCCGCCATGATTCGCTGCGAGGCGATCGGGAGAAAGATAGTAAGAAGAGTAATCAATTATAACGTGAGTAATGGAGTAACGAGTGAGAAGAGTCGGTGAGACAAACGCATTATGAATGACTTATGCACGGAGACATCACAAAAACTTCCATAGTGTTCCTCACATTCCATCACACGAATTTTCCGATTCACACACGCCGCTCGTCAAGTATCCTAATTGAAAGTAGGTACGACTTTCATCTCCCCACGACTTTGGCTTTTTCTTCAACGCGATGCATGCATGAACATTCCAGTGAATACTGGGAGGTTAACCAGGTACGATTGCATTAAAACCGCATTTACCAAAACCCAAACTTCACTCGGGGAAAGTTCAAATCCTAAGTTACTCTACTCACAAAACTAGGCAATACCTTCCCGGAAAGTTACCTTTCAACCATTCCTTGATATAAAATGCCAAACGAAATACTCAAATTCAAAAACCGGTTTAGATTGAAGAAATCTCGCCTTTTCTGTCGTCAGTACAAAAACAAACAAAAACTTATGGAAGTGACACAAAAACCCATCCAGCGAGGAGGTAATTCAGGGTGAGATTTTTTTCTAATGCCTCTTGGGGAATCCAGTAACATCCAGGAAGGTGAACTACAAACTACTTCTGTCATTGTGCCTTTCATCATAAAACTAAAACTCAGGGCACGAAGTTGACAATAAGTCCTTTTTTCCTTTTCCAAGAGTCCCTGAGAGAATCTGACATGAAAGAATCTTCATGCATCCTCCTGCTTGCAGTAAGGGTTTCTGAAAATTAATTTCAACGCTACCCTTCGATACACTTTTCACTGAAAGATGCCAACTCCGACTCCGAGCTTATGACACACTTACGCTTGCTTAAGGCAGCAATTACGCCACAAACCTAATCTACTAGAAGCTGAAGCCAAGAACTGATTTCGTTTCCATTATTATTTCAATGCCGAAATATCACGGAAATTGGAAGTAAACAATGTTCTACCACGAAATTGTTAATCCCGTCATACAAGGGCCTCATCTCTCCCGACAATCTTTCTTCAATCGTTTGAAAAAGAAACAGTATAAAGTCATTCGGAGCTGTTATCCTTGCAGAGCCAGTGCTTTTCAGGAAGGGGGGGGGGAGGGGGGGATTCAACAAGAAGCAGTTAGTACTTCAATTAGGCATTCTGATTCTGTCTCAGCTTGCTAAAATATACCAACATAGAAGCATGACTTCGTCCTCGAGTAGTCTAACGCTGGATCGGATCAAGTGTCACTCACGACAAATAAATAAACTTTCCTACACAATTTTACAACAGCTGTCCCTGATAAAGACGGGTTATCAGGATCAGCAGCACAGCCCTTAAAAGAAGGAGGACACGAACCGTGTTTCCACAAAAAAAGGCGCTTGTCGGAGTGTTCTAGGACACCAGAAAACTCATATAAACACGAAATCCTCTTGGATGGCTTCGAGTTCCTCGATTTCCCCGTGTTCGTTGATAAATCGACGAGCCATCATCAGAATACGTTCCTCGGGAATGAGGTGAGGAGGCGTCTCGTTGCTAGAAACGAAGCTGTGTCCAGTTTCTTGGCCGGGTTTCATCACAAATAACGGATAACCTTCAGCAACAAGGCACTGAAAAGAAAATTATCTGATCAATAGGGCGAACTAGTTCGACAGGGAAGAACAGTCGTACTCCGGAAATTTTAAGCCTCGCATAATGCATTATGTGCACAATAAAAGGGATTAGGTCAATCAACTGAGGCACGCCTGTATAGTAACCACTCACGTCTTGCGTAAAACGAACAAGGTTTTGAAAGTCTTCACGATGACGACAATAGAAACCGATGCAACACGACGGATCCATTTGGGTGAACGGTATTCGTCGAGGCTTTTCACAATGATAAGACTTCGTGCAGAAGTCGGGATTCTCCGTATCCACTGTAGGCTGGACAAAATGTGGGTCCATCGAGATCAGATTTTCTCCCTGGAAAATAGGAATAAACGATCTCTTCAATGTAGGTCAGGAAACGGGTGTCCATGATACTAGCGGACATAAAATATTCAATATAAAAAAGCATGACTAAGGGGGCTCCAGATTCGAACAAAAGTTCATTACATAAAAAAAAAAAACTCAGGATCCCATTGCTCACCTGAAAACCGATGAAGTATAGAGAATGCTTTGGCTTCCCTCCAATCACACCGACACAACATTCATGAGATAAAAAGGCTTTCAAAGCCGGTAAATAGACCGGATTAAGCTTTTCGGTCCCCAAACGCAAAGGTACGAAAAGAAGCAGACTAGTCGACCAATCATCATTTCGCCGAGGATCATTCTGATCGCACTCCGGCTCTTCGTTCAATTCTTCGGCTTGTATTCCTTCAAACGGCCCAGACTTCGTCACCATGACAAAATCGCTCGCTTGACGAGCTGATAATACACATTGACTCTCCTGCAAAAATTCGGTCGCTTCGGTAACGTCGGTGTCATCATTCCGATCACGTGGTCTGCATAACATGTCGACATCATCGAGGTACACTGTGCAGTCTTGAGCCACATAGATTCGTAGTCCGGGAACCACTGAAGTCTCCACGGCTTCTTTCAAAATATGCACTATACATGTGGGACCAAACCAGTCACCCGCCTGCTTTCCTTTCCTAGAAGAAAAACAAACAAATAATTAGCGATACTAGTAAACAAATAGCAGCCACAACAAAGAAACGCGATTGAACCTCGAAAACATTTAGCATGGTGATCTTTCATGTAATCTGTACTCCCAGTGGAAGCTTACTTTTGGGAGCTATTTCGAACGGAAGGTAAGTTGCTTATGTCATGACATAGAAGAATATCACGTATTTTATCCTGATTTTCGTAAAAGGTACTTTCCTCCGTAAATTACATTATGATACGAAAAAAATAGAAATGTACCTTAATCCCAAGGAAACCAGGCGATGAAGGCCGAAAGTCGGTGGCGATAAAAAAAAATGATCCGAAAAAAGACTGATAATGCTTCTGTGTACTTCACACATTACACCTGGTCTCCAATCGCGACCAAGAAGATGCGTCAGAATTGTCTGTGCTAAGATCATCTGTCCCGAACGTATCATGCAGCCCCAACCGCAATCGGATCTATGAATTCGAGAAAAAGCACATCGCAGATTAATGATCTCTCAAAGATGATAATGATCGAACAAACCTTAGGTTCGAATGCGGAAGAGGACATGGCATATCTCGACGATAAGTCAGCCATATACGAGACGCGAAATCTCTTCGCATCACAGTCTCATCTTCAGGGATTCGATACTTTCGACCAAGGATGTGGACTTCATCACCTGTAGCGAATTTTGACCTTTTGCTGTTCCACTCATATTTCAAGTTGTTCCAAAAGGACCTCAGAACAATAGAAGGAGGTTCCGAATCGTCTGGGAGAGATATCAAAGGAGTAGGCGAATTTCTGTCGTTTAGACGAGTATTCGTCCATGAAGGGGTATTGCGCGAGTGCGTACCCGCCATCCTGAAGTAAAGGCGTAACACGTGAGTCAAGATCCAATTTCTCATTCAATGGAAACTAAGAAAGCTGACTTCAACCGAACCGATACGAAATGACCACGTCTCTAGTTACATAACTAACGTCACGCAGAGACAACGGGATAAAGCTGGAGTAAAATATATCTTCGAGCGATTGAAACCCGTCAGTTGCAGCACGCGACCATCACTCCTCTGTGATAATTTGGAGACATCAAAGAGCGTTTCTAAGGTACTGTATACCCTTAGGGTTTCTTCCACTAAACACTTATATGTACGGTACATTGATTACGTCTAATCCAGAACGTGTGAGTGTACGGTATACTAATGTCAAAAACTGACATGTAAATTAATTTTCAATGCACATTTACGAAAATCTAAAATTGATTACACCTTGGATATATGGAGACGGGAAAAGTCGACCCTCACCACTTTGTTATTCACATCTCAAGGTACTCCACGTTCCTAAGTATTCCCTGCGCATGTTGAGTACACTCTATGAGGAACAGAAACGCGATTTTTGCAATACAGTAATTGCATTGTTAGATGGAGCTAATTCTGATGACTGAGGCTATGGTCAGGACGCATGAGTCAAGGAAGCTATGGTTCCACCATTTTTAACCTAGTGCACCGATAGGGGCGTGTTACTTCACATGTGAACAATCTCTATAAGTTTGTTCTTAAAAAAAAGGTGCGCAGGAACTTTGCTTACTTTATGTTGACATCTTATATTATCCAGTGCTGAGTTTCGGACGTGCGTTTCCCATTCATCATCTCCGAGGAGCTATGATCCTTGGATTCCTGCTTGAACGAATCGTGTCGAACGGTTCAGGGGTAGCAAGAACGTGGTTCAAGTTTTTGTCCTCCGGAATTTATTGTACTCTTCCATCGTGGCGGCCCGCTTTTATTGTCACAAGTCATCGCTGTGTCGTTCGGTGAATTCGTGTCGTTTGCTGAATTCGTGTAAATTGGTGTCAGTTGGAGGGAAGGCGTGCGGGTAACGTAGATTTCTGATGCGAAATGAGGTGAACTGTTGGCGAAGAAAGTCATCCCGTTGTTGTGGAATTTGCTATTGTTATTTTTGAAAAGTCCGCCGTTCGAAGTTCAACAGCAAGCTAAATATGATCACGGAGTTGAACAGCATCACTGTTGTACTCATTATTGCGTTTGGAGCGTTGATTTTCATATTGACGGCCGTCGTTGCGAAGCGTCAAATTCATCGGCATGTTCTGAAATCTCGTAAAGGTCCCTATGTTCCGATTGGTTCGGGGGCGTCCCGGGTGAGTTTTTTAAACTTGCTAAAATTAGGATGTAGACTAATGGGTATTCCTTAATTGAAGGGGATGCAGCGCGAAGTTTTGCGTAGACTAGAAAGGGTGTCGAAAATCAAGGTGGAACCGAAGCTTCTGCATCTGGAGAGGCAGCCTTCGCCTAACCAACGTCACGTTACCAGCCAACCATATTATTTCCGCATGAAAGCGATTGATGACATGAAGTGTCTCGGTAAGTAATCTTGTCTCCGAACTGTGAGCTCACTACCAATCAAACGAATTTTTGAATTTTTTAGAGGATGAAATTCTCCAGATGCACAAAGTTCCTTTTCGTCCAGCTGGGGATAGTTTGCGGCTCTATTTCATGAGCCTTTTGAGTGGGCCGTTCCAGAAAGTTGAATCCTCCGTTGTAAGCGACTGCTGTGACTTCTATGAACATGCCCGCTTCCATCCTGCGCCTTTCACCGTTGCGGAATATGCCCTGTTCGTGGAGTTGTTAAAGAAAATGAGACAGTCGTAAGTAACGTCACGTTGTGCGTGTCTTACCTTGGCAAAGGAATGGCATTATTTTGTGACTTATCTCAGTGTAAACTCTGAATGCCACTGATTTCTTGAGCTTTGTGCAGATGCATTGTTCTTGCCTAGATCTAGCATATGTTCCGAGATGACGTGGCCTGCTTATGGCAAAGACAGGGCAGACAGGAATACAGCTTGATTGATGCGCTCGTAGGCTTAAAGACAAGCGTGTTGAGTAAATTCTATAATGTATAATAGTTCTATACTGTAAACGTAATTGAACATTTTTAAAGAAGACCGGTTTGAGTTGTTTTCAAAATTCCCTCGTCATCGCAACTGCGAGTGTTCGTAATTTGCTTAAGGAAGAATGAGATCTATAAATGGCATCTCAAGTAGAACATTGGAGAATGAAGGATCGTTTATTGAATCCGCCTCATGTGTTTAATTTATGTAATGATCGTTGTCGTGATGGAACTTGAGGTTCCGATGTACAAGTCTTATTTTCGAAGAGGCCCAAAATCCGTCTTTTCATTTAAAAGTTGTCCAACATCGGTGATTCCCGGAGTAGAGCCTGCAATTTCCCTTCATTTTACACTGACCTGCCTTCCGTTGACCTACACTCCATCAACATGTGTTCAGGTTTCTGGAAGTATTCCCTTTTTTGCATTTTGCGTGAATTTCGGAGTAATTTGGGTGCAGTTCTTCACTGTAGATCTTTTGATGTCGAGATGTACAGTACTGTATTCTTTTTCCTCGCCAGTGTTCAAAGTACAAAGCAAGTTAAAACGGACAATGCGGGACAAAGGAGACACGTTTTTGCCGCCGGCTACCTTCCGCATGGCGGAAATGGATTGAATCTCCGCATGCGAAGAAGTTCTTCGGCTGGTGCTGGTAGTGAAGATTCCGCGATTGGTCGAGACCTGGACAGCGACACTGGCGGAGATAGTGGCAGTTATGTTGACGCTCGCAACGAAGAATTGTCCCCTCAACTACCAACTGATGGTTCAGAAACTGCGCTCTGATTTTTTTTTAACCTCATTACTCGTCTAGTCTGTTACTGTGATCAAAACTGAAGTTCGCGATTTTTATGTCGTATGATTTTCATTTACCGATCAGTGTTCGTAAAATTCTATTTTTTATATTTTTGCTTAGAACTACGTTGTTGTGACCATTAAGGAGAACTTATGTCGCGTGGTGCTGAGGAAACCAAAGAGCTGGAAAAGAAGGTTGAGGGACAATTAGACCGTCTGCTCGATCAGCTCCAAGATATTCACGACAGCAAGTAAGCATCTTAGAATTTGTACCAACTAGAATCTTCGCGGTTCATGCAGTTATCCAATTTTAATTGCAAAAATTTCAGAACCAGACTTTCCTTGGAAGAGCCTACTAGCAGTATCGTAGCATTCCTTTGTATTAACCACATACGCAATACTGTAGACTCATCCTGTAGGAACCACACTTCAGCGACAACTCCGATATTCGAGTTTTAAAATTAAGTGTTGTTCCGGGTTCATTTCCGTAATGTCGTTAAGGACGGAAAGTAGTTGGTTTCCTCTCTGTTTTCAACAATGGATGAGGTTCCTTGAAGTATCCAGCATTTTTTGGCATTAATTAAAATGATTTATCGGTATTATTGTTGAAGCTGAATTTCCCCGTTGAAGCCAGATCGATTCAGCGAGTACAAAATTGTATTCTGAATGTACAGTACCTGAGAGAGGTTTTCTATTTGTGTTAAGGGATGATATGGATGAAGAGGAATATGCGGAACAAATGCGTGATACAGTCGAACAACTCCAAGATTTCAGAGATTATCTGGAATCATGTCAGCAAGGAAAAATGTCAGTAGTTGATTCACTTGGGAGAGCTCAACTGGTAATTCACTCACCGTTTTCTTTTCCTGATCTTCGAATCCAAGTGTTGATGTTGCATGATTATGCAGGCAATACAAGCAGCTGTCAGCAACGCCTTCATGACCCCAGAAGTGATAAAAATGTTTGCCAAAAGGCAGCCTGAATTATTGCGCGAACGTTTGGAGCTGGTCGAAGCCAAGCATCGATCGGGAAAGATGGATCGATTCGCGTACTTCACGGAAAAGGCACGTGTCCTCCGTTTGATTGAAATCTCGCGTTAAATTTTTTACGAACAAATTTCATTTATTACAGACTGAAATTCTCTCGGTTTTAAAAAAGCTGGGAGAAGAACTGCGGCCGGGAGAAGCAGATTTCTTTGACGAGCAAGCTTCGGAGGCATTGAAAGCTTTCGCGAAAGTGTCTGAAGGTACTGAAATCCTCATTTGCTTTCTTTATTCGATAATATCTGTATTGAGTTTTTTTTTCTTTAGGATCTTATCAAAAAATGGCTCTTTTGGTTGGACATCGGTGACATGTGTTCAGGTTCAAATACATTTGCGAAATCTTTTCTACTGATGTTCTGAAGTCATTCGTTCTAAGTGTGCACTCGTACAGTATTTTAGATCTGGTTTTCTTTCATAGATTCGAACATGCGGATCTCGGAGTTCGTGTAAAATTAGAAGGTTAGATCGTGCTTCAGTGTTCTCCGAGGAGGATGACGGTAGTGTGGATATTGTTGATAGCCGTTTCGCTGAGCTCTGTGAACTCATTTTACATTCCCGGAGTCGCCCCAGTAGAGTATGCGACGGGGGATCCTGTGCTCGTGAAAGCTGTGAAGCTTACCTCGACGCAAACCCAATTGCCCTATGAATTCTATTCCATTCCTATTTGCAAACCGCCAGATGGCCGAGTCCAGTTCAGCAGTGAAAACTTGGGTGAGTCTTACACGAGTCCAATTTCTGTAGTGTGTTTCTGTAAAATGTTTCTTCAAGTGGGTGGTTTCTCTTTCAATTTTTGCACATGCTGAATTGTTGGAATTTTTCATGTTGATTATTTGCTGCGTTTTAGGAGAGGTTCTGCGAGGCGATCGGATCGAAAGCACACCCTACCTGGTTCACATGAAAGTGGATAACAAATGCTCGGTGCTTTGCTCACACGTGAATAATGGGTCTCCACTGACCTGGTCCGTGGAGGACTCCAACAAGGTCATCGATTTGATAAAAGCGGAATATTCCGTGCATCTGTGAGTAATCCCACAATCTATTTTCTTCTGCAGCGATCTGTTGTATCAAGAGACCGACTTTCTGATTTTTATTAACTATATCCTGGAAGTATTGACTATTTTTTCGATTTTTTTCTCACCCGAACTTCCAACCGCACGTACTAGACTTTCAAACTAGTCTTGAAAATTTTTGAGTAGCCTGATCAAAAAACTTACAGTAACTAACTTACAGTATCATAATTCAAATTGACCCTTTAAAAATTTGTATCCCAAATTTACACTCGATGAAGTACTGTATAACTAAATTTTGGAAACACTTTCGTCGTGATATCGACGAAAATATCGATTTTTTCCTGTATATGTCCAATTAAAAAATGCGTTCTCTTTTTGTGCTTCTGTAATCGAATACTGTCTAATTTTTCCGCATAATTTTCAAGCTTGATGGACAATTTGCCGGCTGCAACGAGGCTGTTGAGCGAATCAGGCCAAGTGCAGTATCGAATTGGTTTCCCTCTTGGGTCGGTTGTGAAAGACGAGGTTTATCTCAACAATTACTTGAAGCTACATTTGAAGTATCATACGGATGAGTCGTGAGTATTTTTCTGATTCAGTATGTATTGCAAATAACTATATTTCTGCTCTTAGTCCCGAAAAAGTACGCCAACGTTGAAATATTTCTGTTGGAATTTTAACTGGATGGTGTACTGGCATAGTAAATATAAAATCTCGTGGTCGTGGAAAAATGCGGTAAAATGGGAAATTATCCGGGCGAGAGAAATTCAGAAATTGTCTAAATTGTCTTCCTTTTGCTTGAAATAAATTGAAAAAAAGCAAAGGGAAAATCGTACCTCGCCAGGAAATGGAATATTTGGATGTGTTCGCTAATCTTAATTTTTTTCGTTGCTGCGTTCGTTCGCTTTCAAACAAATAAATAGAGCTATCCCTCGAGTGATGGGACTTGATTTGTTGCTGTGGGAATCAGTTATTCGAAAATGTTATTAACCCAGTAATTTGTTTCTATAAAAAGATTTGACTGCGTGGAATGATTTGTCCGTTTCAGACCCCTTCCGCGATCCCGTTACATATTCTTGTCTTAATATTGATGAAGTAATATTTTAAACCAAAATATAATCGAGGAACGAGAAAAATATGGTAATGCTCCATACAGGCAAGAACTGAAAAATAATCGTATTCAATTGAAAAATGATGCTTGTGAGCCATGCTTTTCCAGCAACTCGTCCGAGAGTCGTTGATTACTAGAATTACATTACCTCTGTTCAATAGTTCAACCTTCGTGAGGCTTGAATGTGGTAATTTTTTTTGTCCCGCCTGCTAATGCTGTAATTGTCCGACAGTAGGAAAACGCACCGATTCGTTGGATTTGAAGTCGAAGCCAGGAGTCGTGCTCTGGCGGGATTTAAAAGCGACGGGTCCAACTGTGATCTAATGGGAGACGAGCAACCTGGGCTGAAATTGCAGGAGGGAAAGACGCATTCAATTCAATTCTTCTACTCTGTGGAATGGCAAGAATCACCTGTACGTTGGGCATCTCGATGGGACATCTTCCTAAACATGTCTGACGTCCAGATTCATTGGTTTTCCATCTTCAATTCGCTCGTCTTCATCTTCTTTCTTTCTGGTAAGACCGTGGACTATTTTGATTGGATTATATTTTTTCTATATTACAGGGCAAAATTCAAGGTTTCGAATGATATGTCCATTCATGCATCTACCTCCTTGAGAAATTACATTGCGGTGTTGTATTGTTTGATTTGTAATGCGTCTTGATAAAAGATTGAAAGCTTGAGATGGGTATCAATATTGTACTGTACAATTCCAATCTTACTGTATAAGGAGCGGGTGCTGTAGCCTGTCAAATATTAAAAAAGAAAATTTACAAACACTATTTTGTGTACAATTATCGTAATGTTCCGTGTCAGCGATGATGAAAATTTGGTTTGAAAATGAAATATTTAACAACGAAAAAACATTAAAAATTTCCTATTCATAGTCTTTCGCAGAATTGAATTACAGCATTGTTATCCTTTTTACGTTATTTTTACTTTAAAAGACAACAACAATGAATAAAACTAAGGGAACATTAAAAGAGTGTCTGGCTCTTTTAGAGGTTCTTAACCCCTTGATTGCGGAGAGGTGTTTTCCAATGACGCGAGACCTTTGAGAAAATAGACAGGCTTTTCACCCAATAAGTACTTTTATTCAAGCACAAAGACAACTCAAACAAAACCAAGACAATGTGTCTGGAGGGAAGCCTAAACAAATATCTGACTCCTGAAGAGGATCTGTGATCAACTGACTTTGGGAGAGATTAGCAGGGGTTTTTATATTGCTAGTTTTGGAGGCTGGTTCAGCCATGTGGTTATTAGAGTCAATGAAATAAAGGGGTCATACATCTAGCCAGGAACTTTGTGCAACACCAGTCTAGTATTTAATGGAAACTCTGTTGCTGAGAGGGGGCTGCAGGAAGGCAGTATCAGGTAACATGGAGGCATACATTGTAGTCTCGAGAAACAGTACTGGAATGCTTGACTCTGGTTAGTATCAGAGGCAAGCATCCAGGAAACAGAGTTGCAATCAGCAAAAGAGTTAATGTAAACAAAAAGGGCATGAGCTGCATCAATAAAAAGGTGCACTACAAAAGATGCTGGTGACAAGTCACCACAATCAGATTTTAGCAGGTTCACACAAGTGAAACCTTGAATGATAAAAAATACCATTTGTAACAAGAAAAAAATCCATGTCTAATTTTTGGGCAGAAATATTTCCCGTGCACTTCAATATGTAATCTTTCTGGTGTCACATGGAAGCACTGTACTAAGAAAAACACGCATTCCAACTAATTTTTACATTCTTTTTCATGGTTTATGAGTTTAGGAAAAAAGTAATTAGAAGCAGGACGAAGAAATCAAAATAATACTGACATTTATTTTCGTTTCATCTAATAATAAGCTCAAAACTTTTCTTGAGCAGTGCTGGTTGAACTCACGTCAGGATGAGATTAGAGCCAATGCGTTATGTACTGTAATGTAAATTTGTCTGCTGAGAATAAGAGTTTTATTCTGACATCATTGAAGAGTTTTCCTGTATATTTCAGGAACAGCCCAAGTAATTAAAGGCTACAGTATAAGGAATGCTTGTCTCTGGTTTGTATCAGAGGCAAGCATCCGGGAAACAGAGTTGTGATCAGCAAAAGAGTTAATGTAAACAAAAGGGCATGAGCGGCATCAATGAGAAGGTGCACTACAAAAGATGCTGGTGACAAGTCACCACAATCGGATTTTAACAGGTTCACACAAGTGAAACCTTGAATGATAAAAAATACCATTTGTAACAGTATCAAGAAAAGTCCAATTGAAACCAATGTTAAATACAAATGACTCAGGCAGCTTGTTTCCCTTCAGTGAATCTGCATTGGTTAGAGGTTCATGAAATCAAAGTCAATTAACTCCCAAATGTTGAGCCATTAAATATTAATTCCGTTTTCTGACGGCATCAATTTTATAGATACATTTTACTAGGTTGTATCTCCAAGTGAGAGTTTTTAATCCCGATTGTTGTTGTAGGAGAATTGAACACCTGATTTAATTGCACAGTTTATTTTTCGTACACAGTTTTGTTACTAGTGTTGATTTGAAATAATACCTCTTTATTTATTTTATTTGATGAGATACAGGATCTATTCATGCGCAAAATTCTAAGTAAAATTTAGAAGATGCGCAACCTTCAGGTACATGAGAATGAAAATGTCCGGAAGAGTTCTCATCAGTTGATGTTTTATTTTTTTTACTAGATCTAACATCTGAAATTGGAATATCACAGGTGTGGTGACTATGATTTTGGTTCGCACCCTGAGGAGAGATATTGCCAAGTACAATGAGGGTGATCCTGAAACAGTCGACGACGTCATGGAGGAGACTGGTTGGAAACTCGTGCATGGCGACGTTTTCCGTTTGCCGCGTTATCCCCGATTGTTCGTTGCCATTGTCGGCTCGGGAATTCAAATCCTCTGCATGACGCTGATCACTCTGTGTAAGTACTGACTGAAGTCTTAGAATCAAATGCCGATGTTGATTTTTTAAATCGTCAATGCGAGGGGCTAGAGTCACTAGACTACGCCTGACTGTTGCATTTTACACGAAACCGCGTGGAGTGTGACTTTATTTTGCTCCTTCATCCCTTGGTTGAGCAAGAATATTTCGTTAAAAATTTTATGTAGAAAGAAAAAACGAGCTTGAAGTACTTGAGAAACGATGGCGAAATACAGTACTGTGCTGTACTATATTGTCTCATTCTATGTGTTCTGGGTGTAAGAGAAGAAGTAATCTCTGGGCTTCTTCGTGGCTCACAATTTGAAAATCGCCACCGAACAAATGATATGAAATACAGTATATTTTCTCCTTGGTTTGAGATAGTTCCTTCAACGATAATGGTTATTCCATGAAGTTAAGTACTGTAGATCAATGATCAGTAAATGGTGGATTTTACTCGAAATTGAAGGGAGACATTCATTGCTTTGTCTTATTTCTGTTGCGTTTCTCATATGCGTTTCTCTTTTCACTTCAGTTTTCGCAATGTTGGGAATGCTTTCACCGGCGTCTCGTGGGGCTTTGATGACCGCTGCTATATTCCTGTACGTGTTCATGGGACTTGTAGCGGGATACTATTCGGCTAGGTTGTACAAGTCGATGAAGGGGACCCAATGGAAACGAGCTGCCTTCTTGGTGAGACCCGATTCGTTCATCTCTTGTTTCTTTCGTTTTCATTTTGCGGATGGTTTCTCGTTCAGAGCTATGCATTGTGGATTGTAGAGGCGAAAAGCTTTTTATGGGGGTTGTTCGTGATGATGCTCGCAAAGAGAATATTCTGATTTCTGTCGCATTCCTTTCTATTCCATTTTTACGTTCGTCGACGAACTGTGTACCTACCTATTTTTAATTGCCCAGTTGACTACTCAACTTGGGTTTATGAGAGAGAACCTTGATTAACCAATGATTTTTTATTGAGAAGTCAACTTGTTGCTGAAGTCACCAGTTCCATCGAATTTCAAACTTTTTGAAATTATAATCAATTTTAGGTCATCTTGAAAACGTTTTTGAGGTAAAAAAAAAAAAAAAAAGAGGTAGCTTACATAAGCTTCCTTTTTATCCGTTCATGGATACAAGTAATCTAGATTTCACTGTATTCAATGTACCTGAGAAGGTGTGATTTGCTTCAATTCTCTCGAAAATTGAAGAAAATTTCGTATCTTTTGCAGACTTCTACACTGTACCCAGGAATTGTGTTTGGAACTGGGTTCCTGTTGAATTTCTTCGTGATGGCGAAGAAGTCGTCGGGTGCTGTTCCGTTTGGAACGATGGTTTCCTTGTTGTGCTTGTGGTTCGGGATCTCAGTGCCGCTGGTATTTTTGGGCTATTATTTCGGGTATCGCAAGCCTCCGTTCCAAAATCCCGTCAGAACAAATCAGATCCCGCGTCAGATCCCTCCCAGGCGATGGTACATGAACCCGGTATTCAGGTACATGATCTGCGATCCAGCATTGATTTTGCAGGGTTATATTTTTTACGTTCTGGAATTTTCCTTTTTTTTTGCAGTGCGTTGATTGCAGGAGTGTTGCCGTTTGGAGCGATGTTCATTGAATTGTTCTTCGTTTTCACGGCTATTTGGGAGAATCAGGTGTACTACCTGTTCGGTTTCCTGTTCGTCGTGTTCCTGATCCTTGTGATTTCTTGCGCCCAGATCTCCGTGTTGATGATTTACTTCCAGTTGTGCGCTGAGGTGAGTGGTGACCTTCATCATTTTAATACATTCCTTTTTCAACACCTAGCTATTGCAACACCTTCGATCACACTCGCAATATTTTAAAAGATAAATTTTCAATTTGCTCCAGTATTTTTCTAAGCGCTGCTTTATTCACGTAGGTTGAAGCATACCATACTTCGAAATAAGCAATGTTGTAATGGGATCCGGTGTTAAAGCAGAGAAACGAAGATTAAAATCTTACTCTGCTTAAAGCTTCGATGTCCGAATAATTTTGATGACATTTCAAGGAACTAAGTTGTTTTCGGCGCCCAGTCGTGCTTTTTAGAATGTGCAAAAGATGTAATATTTAGCCGACCTGAGGTATTCTCACCAAAGCAATTAAGAAAATTATTTTACCTCATTAAATCGGACTCAAAATAATCCAGGTTAACCGATCGTTGCTTGTCTTAGCCAACTGCGAATCTAATTAAACGCGAAAAAATTAAAAGAACGCCTTCTTGATGGTTCATTGAATCCGTTAGGTGATGTCATCAGATTTTTATTTTAAAAAAATGTATATACAGTATATAGATTCAGTATTTAAGATCGATACAGTATTTATGAAAGTATTTTCATTGCTACTCTGAATATTTTCCTTATTCTTCTTCCCTCAGGATTATCATTGGTGGTGGAGAAGCTTGTTGGTGTCTGGCGGAAGCTCGGTGTACGTCTTCTTCTACTCAGTGTTTTACTTCATGAACAAACTGGAGATAACGGACTTCGTGTCCACGCTCCTGTACTTCGGCTACACGCTCATCATGGTCGTTACGTTTGCAATCATGACCGGAACTGTCGGTTTCATTGCGGCCTACGCGTTCGTCCGCAAAATCTACGCTGCTGTGAAGATCGATTGAGAGCTGCCCGAACGAGTTTGATTTTTTTGCATCGTGGTTTTTTCGTTCGACACTTTTGCTGTGCGTGCAGCAGGCCGGCTTTTTCCTCTCCTCGTGAGCCTAGTCAAAAGATAATCGGGGAAGGGGTGGAAATGTTAAAGACATGTCTATTATTGATTTTATTCGTCTCACTGGATTGTTTTATTTTTTATGCTTGCCGGAAGCCCCTTGATTTCGATTGAGCATTGGGTAATTTTATCAACTTGCGGTGAACATTCCTGGGAGGAGAAATGAAGTGTGACAGCGGTGGGATATCGTGGGGTGGGACAAGGTTTGTTTTGCACAAGATCCTTCTGTTTCACGCATGTGAGGTGATTAATAAACACGTTGGAAGTTACAGTTACGATTCCCTTCCCCACGGTTTCCGTGTTAGAAACAGGAAGTTAATCTCCAGAAGTTTTTCTTTTAGATGCATCAGTTGTTCAATAATGATTTTTTTTTATTTGTTCGCAGATCCCCGGATTTTTCAGTGTTGACTGAAGTAGGTGAAGTTTTGTGCGTTTCGCGGTGATTTAAATTTTGATGCGTGTGATACTTTTCCAATCGCGTGCCCTCTTTTTCGACGCTAAGTATTGGATGTTTTCTTGAAGGTTTCTCGAATTTACGCCCTTACGCGAGCAGCTTTTAGCGAGCGGAACGGTGAAAATTCGAGTCGAAATTTTTCAATCATGGCCAAAAAACGGGAAGGGGAGAAGAATAGATCCGATGACCAAGGTTCGAATGAGAAGGGCGACGATGACGGAAATTTTAGTGATCCCGACGACTACGTCGACAATATCAGTGATGAAGGCAAGTTTTTATTTTTCTCCGATCTTTGGTTCGTACGCGATTTGAAACAATCCAAATAAACTAGGTCTTCCTCTTAATGTGAATTATCACATCGGGAAAACAGGACAATTGTTTTTGGCCACTTTTTTTTTAGAGGGTGTCGAAAAAGTTTCAAAGACCAAGAAAACGCCGCGTTTCCGGTTTGTTCTAGATAACACGGTTTTTTTAGATAACACACGGGCAAAATTAGATCAGAATTAATAGTGGACGTGTCAAGAGGTTTAGAGAAACCTACTTCCTGCTGGGACAAAATCAAAAAGGATCATCTTTAAATTTGAAGAAGTCCGCTGAAAACCAATCAATACACGTACAGTATGTTCATTCAGCTGTGTCTCAGAGATCACCATATGAATCCCAAAGACTGCTGACAAATTTTTTGACTTCTCACGCTGAAAAATTGGCTTCGAGGAAGGGCTAGTTGGAAAGTATGTCGCATGAAGTAAAAAATGTGAACAGCGCAGTAAGTTATTGGTCATTTTATGGCACTGTATTTTACTACTGTATCTCGAAAATGAAGCAAGTCGTCAAATAATTCTATTAGTTGTCATAATTGTTCGCTGTAAAAGCCAAATCTAAAATTCGTCGATGGTTTGATTGTATGTGTCATTCATCCTTGAACCCCTCGTCGTTCTTGGAAACTATGTGTGAAGTTCGGAAATGAGTTTATTTTTTCCGAAGATTTAGTAGCAAGGCTTCAATTGATTTTTTTTTTCAGAATTGCTGGGTGATCTGTTGAGAAAACGGCCGTCAGAGACGAGTGGAGTAGAAACCCTCGTCGCTGTAGATGGAATCCCTGTGGTGGATGCGACGCGTTTGCCGAAACTGCAGGGTGTAATCAACAATTATTTCTCTTCTTGCGGACCCGTTGCGAATCTACACTTCCCCAAGGATGAAGCGGGAAAAACGAAAGGGTAATTTTAAGTTAACCCCTCGGATTCGATTGTCAATCACTTTATGGTTTTCTTCTATACTCTATTGCAGTTACGCGTTTATCGAGTTCAAAGATCCCGCATCAGCAGCTGAAGCTGTGAAGAAGTTCGACGGCCACAAATTAGACAAGCAACACACTTTTCTCGTTAACCACCTTGTCGATTTTGAAAAGTGAGTCGATCCGCGAGCGAAATATACAGCATTATTGATAAGAATAACGCATACATTACCTTTGTATTGCATTTTTAGGTATGAGAAAGTACCAGAGAAGTGGGATCCTCCTGCACCGCGGCCGTATGAAGACCATGGGAACTTGCGTTACTGGCTGGAAGACCCCGACTGTTATGACCAATATTCGGTTATCTATGAAGGTGGCGAACGAACTGGCGTGTTCTGGAACTCCGTACCTGAGTCAACACTGATTCAAGAGCGTTCTCGTTGGACGGAGACTTATGTTGAATGGTCCCCGATGGGTACTTATTTGGCTACATTCCACCGAATGGGAGTGGCCCTGTGGGGCGGCGTAAAATTCCTCCAGGTTGTCAAGTTTGAGCACTGCAACGTGCAGTTCATCCACTTTTCACCGAACGAGAAGTGAGTGTATGGAGAGAGCGTTTCATTTCGCATTTTCCCTGTTACTTCGAGACTGATAAAATTTAAAAGAAAACGAAACTATTGTTTTTTTTCGGAAGCCTATAATTTAACAAAAATTATGAATAGTTTGCCTGTGTACTGTGCTTATTCAAAAATCGACATTTTATTTACGAACTATTAACGCAAATCTGATTTCCCTAATATGATTGGTTTCTTGAACGAATATGCATAATCTTCAGCGATGCAATATAGATCAATTTGAGATTAATTGTATCATTGTTTTGTTGAGAACAAAAGGTTAGACAGCTTAACTTTAAGGACTGTACAGTTTTGGAAATTCGTTGTGAGATATTTCGGGTTGAGGTCCAAGTAACTATGGAGATCTTTCCGATTTCTTTAATTTGCGTGTCTGTAGATAAAAATGTGGATCATGTGTAAATTACCCGGTGAACTTCAGTGATGCAATATTTTGGGTGATCTAATTTTTAACTAAAGATTAGTTTCCCCTTTTGAATGAGTTTATTGTGGAAGATTTTTTTTTGAGCGTCCAAGGTTGCGTTCGATAGTATCAACCAGGTGTCGCATGAGTGACTAACGTAACTAAAAACAATCCAACAAATCCTAACACAATTCTAACTTCAGGTAACATCCCTTGATTCAAGCGACAACTATGTAAAAGCGACGAAGTTTTTAGATTTAGTAGCATTTAGAGGAAAAGACCCAGAATTCGATTCATGGAAAATTTTACGCTTATACAGTAGTTCACATGGAGAATACAGTACCACTCTTCCGAACATATGGTGGAAATTGTGGTTTGTTAATTTCTACTTTCTCCTCGCTAATTGCCTCTTTTCTTCGTGGGTTTTATTGCTGTATAAATTGTTCCAATTTTTTCTTCTCATCCATTTCTTTAAAATTTTCGTGCTTGGCCTTTTTGAAACCCTCTGTAATACCAATATTTTCGCGTAGCTATGTGGTAACGTTTGCCCCGCACACCCGTGCACATCCCACTACTGGCGAGGAACATCCGCTGATCGTGTGGGACGTGCGAACCGGGTTGCGAAAGCGTGGATTTCAAGTGGAGATGCAAACCCCATGGCCAATTTTCAAGTGGTCTCACGACGACAAGTATTTTGCGCGCTGCACGCCAGAAGGCCTGAGCGTGTATGAAACCCCTTCCTTCGGTCTTCTCGACAAGAAAAGTTTCAAAATTAATGGGATCCGGGACTTCTCTTGGTCCCCGTCGGCTAACATCATTGCGTATTGGGTCGCTGAAGACCGAGAAATTCCCGCTCGTGTCACACTTGTTTCGATTCCGAGGTTTGTACCATTCCTTATTTTTTGACAATAAGAATATTTTTTACAGGATTATATTTTAAAATATAATCCTGTTCAAGGAAAAATTAAGATTTAATCTATCCGATAAGAGCCAGTGAGACGATGATTTTATTCTTGTGAGGCAATGTTTGAGTCACAATTATTCAAAAATTGTTCCTCCAATTTATGAAAATGGCTGTGTTCCTACATTTTCGTTGAGTGAAATTTCTGCGAAAAAATCTTGGAACAGTTCCCGAATGGTAGAGCAAACAGGATTTTAAAATTTTATCGAGACGTCATTTTCCTCAGATCTTCATTCTACAGAATGACAATTTACAACTCCTGGCCTGGCCGGGATAATAAGAGGATTGAAAAATTGAATTATTCCTATTATTTTCAGTCGAACTGAAGTGCGAGTGAAGAATTTATTCAGCGTTGCTGATTGCAAGATGCATTGGCAGAAATCAGGAGACTATCTGTGCGTTAAAGTAGATCGTTACGCAAAAGCGAAGAAAGACAACAAGGACGAGATGAAGTATAGCGTGAGTGCAGTGAATCACAATCAACTGAGCAATTATTCGGATCAGTAATGGGGGGAGTTTTTTTTTTTCTCTTTGCAGGGTATGTTTTACAACTTTGAAGTATTCCATATGAGAGAAAAGCAGATTCCCGTGGATAATGTGGAAGTCAAAGAGCCTGTCCTCGCGTTTGCGTGGGAACCAGTCGGTAATAAATTCGCCATCATTCATGGCGAAAATCCCGCGATCAATGTTTCATTTTACCAAGTCAAACCTGGTCAAACAACTCCTGTCTTGCTCAGTGAGTGCTTTAACTTGATACATTTTTTTTCCAACTGTGAGATGATGAATCCGCATCCTGAATTGTCTAGAAAAATTTGAGCGCAAAACCTGCAACACCATTTCCTGGAGTCCGCAAGGGCAGTTTTGTGTCGTCGCGGGATTGAAAGGGATGAGTGGAGCTCTTGATTTCATTGACACGGGTTCCAAGGAAATCAACATAATGGCCTCCGCTGAACATTTTATGGTCTCTGATATCGAATGGGATCCCACTGGTCGATACGTGGTCACCGCTGTTTCCTTTTGGTTCACAAAGGTGAGTAATGAAATGCTTGAATCTACGTGTGTTGTCTGGGTTTTGTGGGAAATCCAGACACGGCGGTTCACGCTTTTCACCCACAAAAAAAAAAATATTTGGGTGCATTAAAAATATGATCATGAAATTTTGGTCTTGGGTGTTACTCCCTTTTTTAAGGATCCCTGAATAAAAATTGGTTAAGCAATTTGATCTCTCTTAATTCATGTTACAGTATTTCATACAATCCTCGGAGAATGTCCCCGGAAAAAATCTTACGTGCAAAGTTTTTATTTCTTCATGACAGGTGGACACTGGTTATTGGCTGTGGACGTTTCAAGGAAAGCTGTTGCAGAAGCACGCGAAGGATAAATTCTGCCAACTGTGCTGGCGCCCGCGCCCGCCGTGTCTTCTATCTGCTGAGCAGATCAAGGAGATCAAGAAAAATCTGAAGAAGTTCTCAGCGGACTTCGAAGTTAAGGACAGAATGAAGCAGAGCAAAGAATCCAAGGTTCGTTTGATGTTCTTTAATATACCAATTCGAATGAACTTCATTAGGCTTGCAGGAAAAAATGACGAGAAGACTTTCGTTGACGATATAAGCCACGTACAGTAGGTCTCCGCATAACGAAACTAATCTATTCCTGCACAAGTTTCGTTTTGCCTGATTTTTGTCTTGTAAAACGCGTTCCCCACTGGTCGAACTTTCATTGATTTAAGGTTGGTTCTAGCCACTCACTAAAAGACCGTAAAATACATTGCGATTTTTGTATGTTTAAGCGGAAAATTTTGAATTTAAAATTTTGAAATATTTGCTTAGCATGGAGGGGAAGTAATCCTGACAACTCTTACTCGTAACTTTCTGGTTTCCTCACGTTGTAAAGACAAGATGTCAAACTGTTCTTTCTTTTCTTATTTTTCTGGAATTTCGAAAAATTCTAAAATTTTAGTTCAAAACTTGTTGAAATTCGCGCATTTTAGGTCAAAAAATCTTGTTACTTGGTATACTGTAATTTCGTAAATGTGAGTAATTTTTTCACCCCTAAAAATGTTGGGTATGCGAGGACTCGCTTTATCTTCACCATGGACTACGGTATATTAAAATTGGGAAAAATTCGGGGGAAAGATAGGTTAAACGTGGGTTGAACTTCGATGAGAACCCTAAATTCAATTTTACATTTTTTATAAATACTGTACAGTTGAAGTGCTTTGAAATACAGTAATTGAAAGCTTGAACTTTTCTGACCGTTTCCTATGTAAGTCAAATCTCGCCCGTTTTAAAGTTCTGCGAAATGAAACCAAAAACTCTGGACGTTGTTCGTATTGTTTTATTTTCATTCGCAGGAACTGCTGGAAAAACGATCGAGGCTGAACCGGGACTTCCAAGAGTATCGCGCCAAGCGACAGAAGGACTGGCAGGAGCAGCGAAAGGCACGTTTGGCGATGCGCGACGGCGTCGACACCGACACGCTCGACGCCGGCAACGCCGTCATGGAGGAGGAGACGATAGAGTACTTGGTCAAGGAAGACATCATTGTCCTCGAGGAGTAATTGACGCTCGACAAGCCTGGTTGCAACTCCCCTTGCAATCGATTTGCGGCAAAACGCCTCGGTTTACCGCTCGTCTTTTCGTGTGTTTCTATCAATCTAAGGGTCTGTGTGCAGCGAGCGAGCGTCGTTGTTCCGTTCGGAGTTCCCAACAAAACGAGAAACCAAAAGGGCGTCTTCACTGTCACAGCTGTCTAGTTGCTGATCTTTCCGTAGCTTTGTCCGTTTCTCTGAAAAGAGCAGTCTTGTGCACGTGTTCAAAAATCCTTGGAGGGGGTGAAAAAAAAAAGAGTTGACTTGCGGAAATTTCCGCGTTTTGTTAATCTGTGGAATTTTCTCGAGGCAATTTATTGTGATTGAGGAGTTATTTTTTCCGAGCGCGTGTGCGAGTCTGCTTTTAGACACGAAAGTTTTCCTTTTGCAGTTGATCTGCGTAACTGTTTCTCTCCGAAATTTGCCTGACAGCCTGTTGTGTCTCTGCATTTTGCATGGGTGTTCGGGGAAATGCGTAGTTTTGGGTTCAGAAGTGGCGCCTATGGTGTCGTTTTACGACTCAAGACTGGGCAGTATTTTCACGTGCCCGTGCGGTTAAGAAGTGTTTTGGGTCTTACCGCCTGGTTGTCTTTGATTCTAGTTGCTGACTTTCGAAGCCCCTTGCGAATGAAGAACGAGATCCCGGGAGGAAAATGCTGCTTCATCTTATTTTCCTGCCTAAAATTTTCCGGATTCAACCTGAAAATGAATGATCCACATCACTTACTGGTTTCCTGATATTTTTCATAGATCATATGACGTTTCCAAGAAGTAATTTTGTAAATTTCCGCCACATGTTGTAGACCTCATTGAGTTCCAGCCGTTTGAAAATCAGAAAGGGGTGCATGTTAATTTTCCTACTTCATAGAATTCATTTGAAATCTTCTGGGAATTCTAAGACCCAATCGGCATGAGCTTCCGCGTATCCCCCAAATTTTAAGCTTGACGAAATTTCCTAATGCACTATTCCTTTTGATTCCTTACATATCTAGAAAAATAAATTCCGTGAAAATCGTGGGAAGAAACGTCACTGCAATTTTACCCTTTCATTGAAGGTTTGATGGAAAAATCTTGGGCCTTCTCGCGCATTTCTTTTATATTATGAATGGATTAAATCGTTTGTTTCAGTTTGGTTCCAGGTTTTTCGTTCCACTCTTTCTTGCAGTTTAATTACATTTTATATTTATTTTTTTTATTGTGCTTCTGTTTTTGTCTAAGCTCATTTGGAGGCACAGCGCGCGAAGGGTATCAAAAATCACTAGTTATCTGCATCCAATTACTATCTGCGCAACGGTCACCATGAGTTTGGAAGATACTGTCAAGAAAAATCTGATCGAGAAACGGCGGATTCTGGCGGCGCTGAACAGCTTCAAAAATGTAAGTTGTTTCGATATTTGTTACTATGCTGATCATTCCAAATCGTTCGTGATTTTCGTTAATCTTTCGAAGGACGTGTGTCATGTGGTGACAAGATGAGAGTATTCAGACGAAAAGCAAGAAGTTGGGGCCTACCCGTAATCAATTATCTCGCCGTCTTTTTTTTGGTCGCTTTTAATCTTTGTTGTATTTTGTGGGTGGAATGAACCCTTTTCACGTCAGAAATGATCCCCTGTTTCATGATGAGCATCGTGATCGGATGACTAACCGTTATTTACTGAGCCTTTCGTTCATCAGAAAACACTCCTCGATTTTCAGAAATTTAGGGATAACGGTTTTTGTTTGAATGATTTTCTGACGGCAAGATTTTGAATTGATTCGCGGCTATTCGCAGGTGCAAGATTTGGAAGCCAATACCAGCGATTTGCAGGACATATCGCAGTTCGAAATCAAGCGAGAACGTCTGCTGAAAGATAAAGCGTTGAAAAGCAACGCGGTGATCAAGCTGCGCAAGCTGCCTTCCGACTTGAAATCGTTCAAAGCTCCGCCAGTGATTCTAAAGCGAAAGTTGATCACGAGGCGCAAAACCCTGATGTCGGTCGGCAAAGAAAACCAAGTTTCTCGTCGCTCGTCGCGTTTGTCTTTGCAGCCAGCTGCCTTCAGTTACCGCGACCTGTTGGATGATGACGATGAGGGTAAGCGGAGGAAGGTCAAGCGAAGACGGTCTGATGACGACGAGCCCTGGTCTGGCAAGCAAAGGTCTTCGCAGTTGTCCCGCGGAGAACTGAAGCCGCTCATCAAGCGGGAGAACAGCTATGGGCCTATTGATGGTGAGAGAGAAATCTGTTGCCGCAGAAAGAATCATCCTGATTACTGTACTTCCTGTTGAGAATTCGGTTTCAACTTATGAATACTGTGCATAATTTATATATCGCCGCTGCTACGATGACAACTCAACTAATATTGCTCATTATTTATTTAATTTATCTATAGAAACAGACATAATATCGAAGTCATGACTGTCGTGACAACCGTAAAACGTAACCTGATGCGTTTTGAAAGGAAGTGAAAGACTAATTGGGAAACTAAACCCCTGCCCTCAACTTCAACATCCTATCAATTCTTTCCACAAGAAATTTAAGGCTCCTGTGCTTATATCGTTGAAAAAACATACGTTAGGCTTCAAATCGCACAAAAATCTGGTGCCGATACAGTATATATTTTTCATTTTTTAAGGCGAGTGTTCTCTTCTGAATTTAAAAATAATATCGTATCCTTTACTGCAGATTTGCCTGTTGGAACGTGGTGGCAAACCCGAATGGAATGCTCCCGGGATGGAATTCACCGTCCGCCGGTTTCAGGGATCGCCAGTGGGAAAGACGGAGCTTTCTCGATTGCGTTGAGTGGTGGCTACCCTGACAATGTGGATGAAGGTGATCGGTTTTGGTACACCGGAGAAGGCGGCCGTGATTTATCCGGAACGAAGTCCAATCCGAAGGTGCAAAAATTGTTATCAGAATCATGATATGTGCGAAGAGTTTCTTGGAAGTCTTGCAATTATCGCCTATAATCCGTGATAGTAGGGCGATGACATATGGCGCAGTATTTCCAGCTATTCATTGTTTATCGTGTTTAAAAAATCTAAAAATCGTGTTCAAAATTCATTACGTTGAAACAAGCCATTTTTTCCAGCATAAATTTGAGGGTCATGCATGGAAAACTCCTCGTCAATTTTTTTCTTGTCTCCTACGTCTTCGTCTTACTCCTCAATCAACACTCACATAAGAGGGTGCCCAAGTGTTTTCTGAATGATTTTTATCTTCATTTTTGTTCACGTATCAACAAGTATACCCACGGGATTCTTTCGCCTACAATGAACTTTTGTTCTACTCACGAGACTTTTTGTTTTGACCCTTCGCACTTCTACAATTGCAATGATCAGTGACGTAAAAATCGTTTTCGGGTATTTTGTAGAATTTGCGGACTGCCCCGCAGTCGAAGGATCAAGACTGGTCTCGCGGAAACATGTCGTTGTATCGCAGCTTCGAGACCAAAAATCCAGTTCGCGTCGTTCGAGGTTTTTCCAAGAACAAAGACTTCACGTCGGATTGGGCCCCTGAAAGTGGCTATCGTTACGACGGTGAGTGAAGAAGATAGTTCATCAGTTCTGTCGTGCCTCTGTTGAAGTTTCACTCAGAATGCTGTACTGGTTTTGATCCAATGCCCAGAAGCGGTTTCCTGTTCCGTTCGAGTTTACTTGCGAACCTGAAACTTGCTAAAGGGTCATTTCATAATTTGCTGAAATGAACATATACAGTACAGTACTGTATTTTTGTTTAGAGTGATTTCCTCTCTCATTGCAGGACTGTATCAGGTTACTGAGTGGAAAACGGAGATTGGAAAATCGGGTTTCAGCGTCTTCAAGTTCCGATTCGAGCGCATTTCTGGACAAGACCCCATTATGCTCTGAGATGATCCAGAAAAACGTTGACCTAATGCTGATATTTCGAATTGTTCAACTTTTTTTTAAAGACTTGAGAGCTTGCTATGTATTGTTCGCAATTTAACGGATCCTTGACGATAATTGTTTTTTTCCAATGGGGTGAAAAATCGCCACTTTTGTACCCTTTTTACCTGTTGGATACTTGTTCGTTGGCTAGTGAAGAAAAAGAGAATGCCTAACGTGTCGTTTGCTCGAGTCGTATAGATGTGCAACTGAATAATGGCTCCGAGGCTACGTTTATCTTTCTGACAGATTCTGTGAACGCGCAGAAAAATGCAAATTTTCGTGAAAACGTTGACTGGTAAAACCATCACCTTAGAGGTTGAGGCAAGTGACACTATCGAAAATGTGAAGGCCAAGATCCAGGATAAGGAAGGTACGTAGGTTGTCGTTCGAAGAAGGAATTTCGCTGAAAATTGATAATCTTCTTTTCGCAGGGATCCCTCCTGATCAGCAGCGTTTGATTTTTGCTGGAAAGCAACTGGAAGATGGGCGCACTTTGTCGGACTACAACATTCAAAAAGGTCTGTAATTTGAGAGAATTTTAGTTTACGAATATACATATCTATATTTGGTCGACGAGTTTTCGTTAAGTACTTTTTTATTGAAGTGTTGTGTGGAGAGATACTTCCCTAAATGTTTATCCACAAAGAGAGAGCTCTTGATTTCCTCCATTCCTGAAGTCTTGCCTTTTTGAGGGAAGGTTTCAACTCTAGATCACGTATCGTTTTTATAGCACTGCATCAGAGGGAATTCACATTTAAAATGGCGAAGCCTTATTGTCCAGTGTTACCATTTCATTTTATTGTTCACCGTCTTTACATCATTGAACTTAACTTGCTGTCCCTGCTTTTGTTGTTCAGAATACTAAGTTTTTTCTCAAGGTACCACGAGGCAAGATTTTGGAGCATCCGCCCGGTTCCGCAAATATTTTAAATTTAGTAGAGCAGTGCGCTCTATTTCAAGACTATCTTCATTCTACGTACTCTTACATAGCGTCGGGACAGACGTTAGAACATGAATAAAAATTTTTACTAAAATTCCATTGAATTTCATGTTCTTATTCCAAGTTTTTGTGATGCTTTTCTTCAGAGTCAACTTTGCATCTGGTCCTGCGGCTGCGTGGGGGTGTCATTGAACCGTCCTTGCGCATTCTGGCCCAGAAGTATAATTGCGACAAAATGATATGCCGCAAGTGCTACGCAAGACTGCATCCGCGGGCGACTAATTGCCGGAAGTCCAAGTGTGGCCACACAAGCAACATTCGACCCAAGAAGAAGCTGAAGTGATTCTTACGAGCGGTTATGAAAGTACCGGAAATATACGAGACTTATATCGTAAGATGAAGGTGATCTATTTTGATTTTGTTCAATTCGTCGTGTGATTCATCGGCGTCCGAAAAAGTAAATTACTGAAGTTTCTGTCCCTTGATGGTCAAAAAAAAAAAATGTCGGAACCTTTTCTTGGCATGAGACGAAATTTTAAATGGAGATCGACAGGTTACTGCATGTGCCTGGAAGAGTCAATATCTCTCCTGATTACATCGTCGAGTCAGAAACTTCACCTGAATAGTCGTATCCCTCAAGAAGATCGTTGAATCGGAAATTTAAACACAGCACTCGCACAAGAAAATGAAATATAGATAGTATGCCATAATAAATCACGGAATTCTCGGGAGGTAAATGCTCACTTATCAATCCTGCTGGATCAAAAGAGAATGAACGGCTGATAGGCCCTGAAATTGGCGAGAAAGGCTCGATTTTATATGAGAGAAAAAAGAAGCATGTGCGGCTTCTTTAGGAAATAAAAGCCTAAAGCCTTCACGATGTAAAATGAGGCGGAAAAAACACTTGAAAAACATCTGTAAACAAATGTATTCCTTCAGAATATATCATTGTAAAATAAACCGAACAACTCAGCATTCAGGAAAGCAACGCAACATCAAACACGGCCCAGGGCTCCTTGGATTTCTCAGTATTACCGGTAATCGTCTTCATGCTCCTCAATCATCACTCGGAGCTTTTCTCCTTTCGCCCGACGCAAGTGGCTTAGCTAGAACAAAGAAACACAGTGATTTCCGTACCAATGATTAGCCTCAGAAGAAAGCTACCTTTCGAGATCCTAAATACCCTGGAAGAAATTTTTCCAATTCTATGCCTCCGTTTAGGAAGCTCTCCGCGACTTCCTCGCTGGATTGATCACTCGCGATCACAGCATTACGAATTTCCTCCTGAAGAGGGAAGAATGCGTTGACAAAATAGAAAGCAATTAATTGCCTGAACACTTACGTGAATAGTAAACAGATCCGTTTTTTCAATAAGCTTTTGATGTCGCTCACGCAACGCGAACAATTCTTCTTGTAAATCAGCAACGGACTGTCTGAGATTGCTCACATCCTGACGGGTTTCCTCGATTACCGTTTCTTTACTCAGATTGGCAACTATAACGTCGAAAACATATTAAAATATTTTCCGCTAAACGTCAGCTCGGCAGTCTTGCTAACCGGCCAAGCGCTCCGTTTCCTCGGAAATAAGAGCCACTGATGCTTCCAGTCCCATGACGCAAGGGAGCCTTTTCAGCAGGTCTGAGAAGTTCTGCTGCTTGGATAAGAGATTTTCCAAGTCTGTAGAGCTATAATTACTCAATACCATTCTCACTTCTGATGATAGGCCAGAGTTGACCCTCTGCTCCATTCCTATTGGGTTTCCATTCATCAATACAACGAGTCATATTAAAGTTTCACGTGGGGCAATTATGCTTCAACACAACGCCGTCAACAATACGCACGGTTCACTTTTTAAATAGCTATCGTCCATCAATTGAAGTGCAATCTGTTATTGAAACGCGATTCCAAATCGGAAACGAAAATAAATTGCCATCCTTGCCGCCTACCTGTCCAGGAACTTACGGCGATCGGCAGTAGTCCACAATTGTCTCGGCCATCTGAGTCTCTTCATGCGAAAAAACATGGAGGTTTCGGGAATTTTTTAAACCCATAATTTCCATCACTTTTCGGAAAGTTTAAGTCATAAAAGGGAATTTAATTTTTCAAAGCAAAATGCAATCTTTTGAAATCTTTTGGACTTCATAAAAAAAAAGACTTTCTATAATCAAGATATTTCTTGGGAGTCAACTTGTACGCTCTATTGCATTTATGTCACTCCATGACGCCCAATTCAAAGCAAAATGCGATCTTTTGAAATCTTTTGGACTTCATAAAAAAAAAGACTTTCTATAATCAAGATATTTCTTGGGAGTCAACTTGTACGCTCTATTGCATTTATGTCACTCCATGACGCCCAGGTGCGACTTACACGAGTACGTCCCGCACCTGCTCTGACCGTGATATGAAGATCGATGAAATTGTAATCCGCGGGAATTCATTTAATTGAATTAGCGTAAGTGATTATTTTGTTTGAAGTGTGAGCAATTCGCAGATTTGTTAATAACGTAATTCCAGTTGAATCGTGATCGAAACTCGTCCTACGTTTCCGAATTGATTGTTTAAATTTTAGCATTCGTGCTGAGTTCGATAGCACCCTGAATTTGAATCTATGACCAGAAGCCAAAAAGTACAATTACGTCTTTTACCGGGCTCGACTAGCACCACTTTTACCTTCTTCACTACTTCGTAGTCTCAGATCACGCCTTCTGTTACTCCAAGTTCGACGCTACTCGCAGCCACATGGTGTTGTGGTAATGGTGGACTCCTCGTCCGAAGACGTTGTAGCGGTTGAACCGGATTCCACGAATGACGTTCAAGATCCTGTGATTGCTCAAGCCAGCGACGAAGACGAATCTAATCATGACTCTGCCTCTCTCCAACCATCTTTTTCGCACGACACTACGATTGAATCCACAGTTCCGTTGAAAAATGGATCAAGCAAGAACGGAAGAGTTACACCTCTAGATTTGGATCCCGGATCTGTTGTCTGGTTGAAAATTCAGAAAGTTCGTTGGCCTGTTTTCGTACAACTAGGTCCCTTGATAGGGCTTCTTAACTGACTATCAAGAGCCGCGTTTGGAGAGCGGCAGCAGGTCAAAAAGGTGCTCCTCTTTATCACTCCAAAGTGGGAATAAACTACTGTTTAGTAGGACTACCGAAACACCTGTCAGAATTACTTTTTAGACCGATATTTTGTGGTTTTAATTGCACTCTTCGGTGTACTGTACTGTATGTACTATCATTTTATTAAACGCTGTGAACTGCTCTGCATAATTTGAGTTAAAATTCTCTTGAGAGAACTCTATGCTATATTTTTCGTTTTTTACTCATGAAGGATTGGCTTACCTTTTAAACTCGTTTCTTTTTTTAACTTGTGATCGCCACCTTATTCAATTTAGATCTAGAGATAATTCCGTAGATATGTTAAAATTGAATTCTATAATGTTGCTATACACAGCGCTAGTAGGTTTTAGAGCTTTTGTCGGCAGAAGCATAAGAAAGTACAAAGTTTTCATTCCGTGAACCAATCGTGCAGGGGTAGATTTTTGCTTGACCTGGGTCGTTGGAATGGAAGCTTTTCTTCTGGGTGATTTTCTATTGACAGCGCCTTGATCAGAAGCTCTTCACCTAAACCAATGATATTTTTCATTGCAGTGAAGTAATTTATTCGGAGGATCAACTTTTCAAGTACGACCATCCGGAGAAAATAAATTTCCTGCGGAAATCTCTCAGTGAGTTTCAAGCCTATTGGATTTGAAATTTTGTCTTCAACCGTAAAATTATTCGTTGCAGATCTTCTGAAAGACGAGAACTTGAAGAAGTTTAAGAGCGACGTTCAGGAAGCAGAAGAACGCACAGGAAGTCAAGAAGATATCTGGGTTGTTCTTGATAAACTAGAACAGGAATCGAATGCATCAAAGCAGAATTTACGGGCGGCCTTCGGGCTTCAGCAACAGAACAAAGTGGTTGAAAAGATACATTATATGACGATGTACGGTGCATATCCCACCGGGGCTGAAGAGTTCGATCGTGACAAAGAATTCAAGAAAATCCGTGACGAAGTCTGCGGCGAAGAAACCTACCATTGTCACTGGTGCTCGTTCACAACAACGAGAATTGATAATGTTGTGTCCCATTTCAAAGTCCATACTGCCGGTGGTCCGAGGTACATGCCAAGAATTACCTCTGCTGCGTGGAACACAATGGAAGAACAGATAGCGCGGCAGCAACGGAAAAAGCTGAAAAAGCTCGCAGCGACTGCTTCAGGAAACTTGGTGGCAAATGGGAATCGAAAACGCAAAGACGTGAAAGTCAACGGTGCGTGTACTGAACATCTTGCTCGATAGACAAATTTTATCAAAATTTTGTGTTTACCTGAAAGTCCTGACTCGTTGGCGGTGCGGTGTTGTTTTCCATTTTTGGGCAGTGTACAGTGGTACTTCTTATGTTCCTGTGTGTCCTTCGTGCGTTTAATCTTCGAGATAATTAGTATGTAGGGCATTTGAAAGAAATCTTGTGCGATGTATATACTGTAGATTAGAAATTTAGAATTGATTTTCAGATTTTTGTCATTTTTACGTTATTGTTTTGCAGGCACGCCTTCGAAAAAACGACGAAAAGATTCAGGTCGAACACAAGGTTCCCTGTCCAATGCTCAAGACCTAGTTGCAGAGTGGGATGAACCCGACGAAGGAGCAGAAGATCAAAACGAAAAAGGGTCGAATCGGCAGAGCAATATTGAGAATGATTTTGACGCATTGTTTCAAGAAACTAGTGCCCCTCGTCCATCGACTTTCAACCGATTCTCATTACCGAGTGCCGGGGATACAGAAGACGTTGAGGATGAAGAGGTGGATGAGGATGATGATTCTCCGGTTCCTATTGCGGGTTTCAATCCGTTCGAGTTTCACGAAAGTGACGAGGAAGTGGAGGAAACTGTAGTCGGGGAAGTTGTAGAAGAAGAAGAATCTCCGGAAGCAGAGTCTTGTTCTGTTTCGGAGTCTCCACATGTTCAACCTGTACCACCCAGCCCCGTTTCGACGGAAAGTTCGAGGCAGCCATCAACTACCAAAGGAAGTGTAGTTATGGTAAGTTTTTGAAATGGTTTCTTGGCAATTTTTATTCTGCGCGTCGTCATGCTCTGGGTAATTGAATACTCTATCGTGCTCAACAATTTTCAAGTGATTCACATTCGCATAAATTCGGTGCCTCAAACAACGAACCCAAATTTTTTTGAGAAATAGTTAGTTGATCAAGACACGATTTTCTGTACATTTGCGTGAAGAAATTTGATTTATTCTTCCAAGATTTGATGTTCTTCGCTGTTGGCGATGCTTTTTGCTGTGATAGCGGCCAACATCGAAGGATTTCAGGGTATATTCTGATCTTTGATGATTTCCCCATGCCTGAAGTGTCACCACAAGACGTGATTTCTTGAAGAAAGATGTATGTTTTGTATACATTTCGGAAAGAATAAGCAAATATGTACTTGGTAATAAGCATCGAAGATATGAATTCAAAACGTCTCCCTTTCATGGAACTATGGGTTTTTCATAAAGTAACGCTCCCGATTTTTTCCCTGGGTATATTTTTGTTAGCCAAGCCTATTCGATTCTTACTGTACATTGGTTCCGATGTTTTCAAATTATTATGAGCTTGATGTGAGGCGTCCCAAAAAATTTGCTGTTGAAATGTTATTGTCTGTGGTCCCAATTTTCTCTTCCAGTACTTCTTCATTTATTATGCTTTATGTGTTTTAAATTTATTCTGCCCCTGTTGTTGATATTCTGAGTAGACTACCGAAGTCATTTCACGGTACAGTATTTGAAATTTGTTCAAACGTATGCAAAATAATGCCAGCGTTTAGAAGGNTCTTCGCTGTTGGCGATGCTTTTTGCTGTGATAGCGGCCAACATCGAAGGATTTCAGGGTATATTCTGATCTTTGATGATTTCCCCATGCCTGAAGTGTCACCACAAGACGTGATTTCTTGAAGAAAGATGTATGTTTTGTATACATTTCGGAAAGAATAAGCAAATATGTACTTGGTAATAAGCATCGAAGATATGAATTCAAAACGTCTCCCTTTCATGGAACTATGGGTTTTTCATAAAGTAACGCTCCCGATTTTTTCCCTGGGTATATTTTTGTTAGCCAAGCCTATTCGATTCTTACTGTACATTGGTTCCGATGTTTTCAAATTATTATGAGCTTGATGTGAGGCGTCCCAAAAAATTTGCTGTTGAAATGTTATTGTCTGTGGTCCCAATTTTCTCTTCCAGTACTTCTTCATTTATTATGCTTTATGTGTTTTAAATTTATTCTGCCCCTGTTGTTGATATTCTGAGTAGACTACCGAAGTCATTTCACGGTACAGTATTTGAAATTTGTTCAAACGTATGCAAAATAATGCCAGCGTTTAGAAGGGGGTTGAAATTAACGGATCCCTCGGATATTCAACAGAAATTGTTGCATGAAGCTGTTAGGACTTCAGTTGTCATTATTCTTTGTTGAACTTTTTAAGCAAGGACATTTTATTTGTGAACTCCCTTTGGAACAATTTTAAAGTTTGCAAACACAGCCACACTTCGGCAAATTCTTAATATAAATTTATAGAGACAAAACACACTTTTCCTTCTTCAGTTACTGGGATAGGCACAGAAGCACAAATCAATCAGGGAAAGAACGGTGGAACGGGGATTGTGACAGCAGTCGTGGAAGTGCCAGAAGGTAGTTCAATTCCGTCGGCAACAGGGCAGGCAGTGATCGTGGAACAGCAGGACCCAGATACGTCTGAAGCCAAGCTTTTATTGGTTACCATTGACGAGGCTGGGAAAGTAGCGACGATACTTCCGATTGCCGAGATGTCGCCGGAACAGAAAGCAGCACTTGGTCTAGACACGGAGGTCCCCGTTGTAGAAAATTGAATAAAAAACATTTCTTGGAACATTTTTATTTTCTGATTGATATACTATCGTTTCTACGCGAAACACGGAAAATTTGGAATTTGTGGATGTTTCGGTGAGGACGGAGCGCACGTTGGTAGTATGACGTAACACGTACGCAAAATGAAAAGTTAGAACTGACCTACACGTATTCTCACTTGGAAACAACTAATGGCTCATCGAAGCCTACGCGCTAAGCCCGACTTATATTGAAGGACGACAAAAAAACCTTCTGTTTATAAAGAATATTCTCTCATTATTGTGCAGCATTTCTAATAATGTCTTCACTCCGTGTTTCAGGATTATTCATAGCAATACTCGGATTTCTCGAATGGATGTGACTGTGGTTAAAATGTATCATGAAGAACATTGCCGTGCGTGATGTGTTGACAAGTGTCCTGCGTGAGGTGCTGACGACTAGGATGTTTCTGCAAATGATTATCTTTTCTGGAGAACTTCGTACACTTCCTATTTTGATCATTTCTTTCCTTGAAAAATAATGTATTTCCGTTCGCCTGCTTTATCAATGCCGAAAAGTTGTAAAATTTTAGGAAAGATGTCATATCTTCGAAGACTGGAACCGAGCATCATTTTTCGAATGAACGTACCGCATTTTAAAATTAACCCAGAAATTTCCGTGCGCTTGTTTTCACCAACCTGAAGTTTGCCGTCTCCACTGATGCCCAACAATACACTTTTGAACTTCTAATACTGTAAATTGGGATTTTTTGTTGCTTCGAAATTGTGACTCAAACTTGAAGATATAGAAATACGTTATGATTCATTTGAAGCCCCGATTCCGTGCGTGACGTTCGTTATCTTGGACCATTTCAACAAAAGTTCATTCGAAACTTTTCTACTCCTATTTTACGAGGTGTCGTGAATCCGTCTTGGATATTTTGCGTGATTTTTCCGAAAGAAGGAATCGAAATGCCTTTAGAATTTCTTTTCGGGCGTCGCATGACGCCGGAAGAAATGCTTCGCAAGAACCAACGTGCATTGAATAAAGCCATGCGTGATTTAGACCGCGAACGTGGCAAAATGGAGGCACAAGAGAAGAAGCTCATCAACGATATCAAGAAAATGGCGAAAGACGGTCAGATGGTGAGCAAATATTGTTTGTGAACGAGGATTTATGGGTTGGGTTTCGCGATAGGGGTTTTTTTTTTTAATCGGCTACTACGAGGGTTTGGATGATCTGCTTCATGGTAGAGATGGATTTTTATTCCTTAATTTCATAGTTCCATTGATTTTTCTCCGACTAGTAATTTCAAATCCTGAGAAAATTCGAGTTTTTGGTACTGTGATCTTGCGGAAATACGGTTGTAAACTTGAATTCCGCGACCACAGGAATCTTTTCATTTTCTTTTCGAGTCAATCGAATCCTCGCGTGACTCGAACACATTTTTGATAAGATCCTTCAACCCTCCTAAAAAAGGGCGTAGTATAAATATTTTTTCTGAATCCACGGTATTTAATTTGAAGTTATGTGCTGATTATAGCAATGCTCTCCGTCCATCATCACCGTTTAGAAAAGATTGGTTTACACAGTTCGTTGTCTTAATTTAATACCCTATGAGAGGCTGAATCTCTCTCATGATAGAAACAGTAATGATACTAGGTGTCGACACAGTTGAGTCAAGATTTTTATTTTTGATTCAGGATGCTGTCAAAGTTATGGCTTTGGACCTTGTACGTACCCGGAGGTACGTGAAGAAATTCATCATGATGCGTGCGAATATACAAGCGGTTTCGTTGAAGATTCAAACCCTGAGGTCGGTTTTACGCTACCGACTTCGCTACTTCCCCCAATGCTCTCGCTACGCTTGATACTTGGCCATTAAATGACATTATAAAGAGTCAGGACTGAACTAAAAGTACAACTTTAAAAAAAAGGATTTTTCAGAAATGAAGCTGCCGCAAATCATGCAGATCATGCAGGAATTCGAGAAGCAGTCTGAGATCATGGACATGAAGGAAGAGATGATGAATGATGTCATTGACGACGCTATGGGTGAACTGCTTCTACTTCTACTCTCCAAACGATCAAAAACGTAGTAATAATGGAAGAAGCAAAATAGGACTAAGTTTCGTCTCACTTTTAGTCATTAAAAAGCATAAAACCACTGAAAACTAACAACCCACAAGTGAGTTACCGTATGTTTGTAATTACTAAACCACATCAAATTTTTTACAAAAGCGGCAGCTTTTTCTCCGGATTTACAGTATTTTTTTCGATTTCTTGTTCTCTCATGCTCATTTCTCTTCACTCCTGAATGCGCAAATTTCTCAGAAAATCTTCATGTTAAATATTGTTCCATTTTATTTTTCCAACGTTTTAGCTTGAACCGATAAAAAAATCCTTCATATTAAGCTTTGATCCATTTTCTTCTGATTCACCATATTCATAAAAAATGTTTAGAAGACCATTGATGAAAAGGGTTACCTGCGAACAGAAGATAACCGAATGATCATCTTTTGTGAACGTGTTCACTTTTCCAGTAACGCGGTTGTTTCGCAAGTCCTCGACGAGCTCGGACTTCAATTAACTGACCAGTTATCTGGTCTTCCGCAAGCTTCTGGTTCCGTCGCAGCCG